GCTGAATCCCATATAGAAACAATTCAAATATTGTTCATTTTTATGTGTTTCCTTCTGTTTGTTATTGTTTTACTTTCTGTATAGAGTTTGCGGTTTAACTTCCAACTGCTAAATTAAGCTACCTGTTACTAAAAACATAAAGTTTTAATGTATTTGGTAAATATTTTTGTGGAGATTTTTTCTTGTCTGTCACGTAGAAGTTCTCCCTTTACTGAGTGATGAGTTATTTAGTAATTGCAGGACTTTATGCAAAATAGGGCAAGTCCATTTTGCCTATGTCACTACACCTTCTAGAAACAAAGAGGTTTTACACCCTTCGTTGATTTGTGAATCTCAACAAGTTGATCTGTGACTCCTCTGAAAGTTGTATTGAGATGTGTACCTGGTCCATTTTATTGGGTATCTAGGTCTAAATTCATCTTCATTTTGATCTTCCATGTCAGATTTGTTCAAATTATCCTCCATTGTTTCTTTACTACTTTGTTCACTTTCTCCATCAGAAGCACTCATGTTTTCCAACCTTTTAGGTTTTGCCTTTTTTTCCATTTTGACTTCTTCATTGTCACTTCTAGGTCTTATTTGAGCCAATAAATTTTCTCCACTTGTTATTATGACCATATTATGTGCCTTTTTTTGTAATAAAATTAACTTTTTCAGGACTTAATTCTCTGGGGGTTTTTTTGTACCACATTTTTCCATTTATTGAATAGGACATTATTATAGGTCTTCTTATTGTCTTCCTATCAATTTAGAGAGACTTTGTATTCCACCAACATGTGTAGTTCAATAACTCAGTAACCGTCTTGGTAGATAACTATCTATGGTGTATCTGGATAGGGAAAATGCCTTCAACACCATTTCCATTGTCTGCACCATTCTTTCTGCCATTCTATTCAATCACAGGTGGTATAGTGGTGTTTTATAAGGTAAGCATCCAATTTGTTTTAACCTCAAACCCAAAGTTTCATCAGATAATTCTAGTGCATTATCACAGACTAAAAATTTTGGCACCCCATTTCTGGAAAATATTATTCATAATATTTTCTTTACAATGGTCGCCACATTATCTTGAACTCTAACCACTTCAGGCCATCCAGATAATGAGTCAACCAAAATTTAAAATAGTCCTATGCCTTTAACATACACATGATCCATATGAATGTGGCCTTATGGCTCTTTTTCTTTAGACCTTGAATGTATTTTGATTTGGCAAAGGTTTTTTTTTTTTATTATGCTACATTTTTGGCATGCTACACAATGTGTATTTTTTTTATAACATTCAAATAGCCAGGCCACCACACTTCCAATTTTAATCATCTCTGTGTTACTCTTATTCCACAATAAACATCATCATGTATGCTTTTTATTATATCTTTTCTTAATCCCTCTGGTGGTATTAAAACATCATTGCATATAACGCCTTCTCTATGGTTAACCTCTTTATAATGTCTTTGCCCTAGAAAAATCACTCCAATTGTTTCTTTTTATTCTACATGCAATCTTGCTTAATACTGGACCCTGTAAGGTTTCAAATGCAAAATGATCTAAGGGTAATACATCTGTTTCAATCAAATGCAATATTTTATATTCTGAATTGTCTGATTTTTCTAATGGTTCATTGCTGAACTTTAGTCTTCATAGAGCATCTACATGTGGAATGGTGTTTCTTTTCACATATTCAATGCTGAAGTCAAAGGCCATGAGCTTTATGACCCATCTTAAAATTCTAGAAGATGTAACTTCAGGTAGTTCTTTCTAGGAGTTACAAATAAACTCTAAATATTTATGTTCAAATCTAAGCAGAAACTTCCTGCCTAATAAAAACTGGAAAGCTCTATTGTGTTCCACATGATAGCTAACACTTCTTTTTCAATATTTGAATAGTTAGCCTCAGCTGGCATTAACCTTATAGAAAGATACATTATAGGATAACCTTCTTGTGATAAAATTGCTGATATCGCATACTAACTTGCATCCATAGTTGAAGCCACTTCCTTTAGTTTTTTTATAAGTTCTTTCTTTAAATTTTCAAATGCAGTATTCTGCCATTGAGTACATTTAAATTTGTTGTTCTTTTTTTCATAACTCTGCAAAAGGTACTATCAATTCACTACACATTGACAATTATCTGTTGTAAAAATTGCCTAACCCTAAAAAAAAAATTCCAATGCTTTTCTATTTGTAGGTGTAGAGACCTTGCATATTTTCTTCATCAGATTTGTGTCTGATGAAATTACATCTTTGGTAGCACCAATACATATATCGTCTTGATAGATGATCATATTCTTAACATCATCAGTTAGTACATTTTCGATGACTCTTTGAAAAATAGCACATGCTGTTTTATGCCATAAGGCATATGCTTCCATCTGAGTAAGCCTATTGGAGAGTTTAGCAAAATATTTAATTACCAACAACTCTCAAATAGCAGTTTCAATGTTATGAATAATGAACATATGGGAGCATATAGTGTCATTTATTCTTATTTTTAATCTTCACATATCCTTAAATCTCTATCTGTGTTTTGTAAACTAATCTAAAGGTAATACTACCACCAGGGGGAACATACCTTGATCTATCATTGTTTTTAGTTTTACAATTACTAAAGGTAGCATGGGAATAGGCAGTCTGCTAGACTCAAAAAGAGTTGACTATTTTCTTTTAATACTCACTTTGTATCCTTTTAACATCACTATATCATTACTTTTCTAACTTCACACTGTTAATTAATTTACTTATATCCACTTTCAAGATATCTGTTCTTACTAGTCCATGAATTTTTTTTTCAAATTTCCCTACCATGATTGAAATAATTTCAAAGAATGTCTTAGTCTCAAATATTCCTTCAAAACAACCTAAGATTTTGATGAAAGAACCATCAAATTGTTTTAGTTTAACCCAACTTTACTTTAATTTGAGTTTTCCTATTCCTTCCCAGAAATTTATTGGGATTAGGGTGACATCACACCCAATAGCTACTTGCTTAGGAAAATTTATGCCCTTCAATTTCATTTTTTCTTTGGCACTTTTCTCTTTATCCCTTTGTATTGCTATTACAGTTGTATTTTCCTGAGGAAGGGTTACACTTTCTACCTTTTTTTTTATTTTCCATCACACAGACTCGAAGTGTTTTTCTTTTCACAGTTCCAGCATACTTGACCTAAAGTTAGACATTTTTTTCTTGTCCTGTTCATGCTTTTTATCACAGTATTAGCATTGCACAAGATAATTTGATACACTGTATGCTTTGATATTACTCTTGTATGTATTGAATTTTTCCGTCAGCTTTGTTTCAAAAACTCTATAAATGCATCCAAGCACATTTTAGTCAGTTGTAACTGTTCCAAAATTTTGTGTTTGTATGAAAGCATCACACATATCTTTGATTAATCTCAACTCTATCAATTCATCTTCAATGATTCATTTCTCCAGTGACAAGTTTTTCAAACTCACAGAAACAGGAAACCTCTCGTAGCTTGTATACTGTATTATTGATTAGTTTGCCTCTTATTGTTCACAAAAACTTTTTCTTCTCAGCTATAACCAACTTCTTTTTTGGTCCCAAATTTCTCTTTATAATGTCAGAATGTTGTGAAAAGGTCAAATCCTCCAATTTTTTGGAATATGCAGTGACAGAGATCTTTCTGATGAAACAAACATCCTGCCAAAGCCAAAAAGAGATCTGTGATCTCATTCTCTCTTCGTGCATCTTTATGATCTTTTAACTTCTTGAATTGCACATGGGAAGCAAAACAACAAAACCATATCTCCACAAAGTCTGGCTTATTCAATAATGTTAGAGATCCTATCGGCAATGCCATATTGTTATGATGTCTGTCGTGTAGAACTTTTTATTTAAATAATTATTTACAATTGTTTTTTGGCACAAGGCTGGGGGGGGGAAGTGGGGTAAGGCTGGTCATCACTGACTATCCTATACCTAGCTAACCTGATTCATGACCCATTCATGCTAACAATTTCACACTTACCGCAAAAACCCTTAATTATCTACTCAATCCAACATATATAATAATATCACATGTACACCGGGATTCTACTAAAACACCCATGACATAAAAATTTAATAATATGTACAAATTGTTTTTGTTTTTTTTCTTATAAAACTATATAAAAAATCTAACACAAAATGAGTGGAGGAGGGGATGAACCCAATAACAGAGATGAAAGAATCCAAAGCATCCAAGCAAAAACAAAACTGTATTAGTACGACTTGTCTACCTGACTATATATTACTGGTAAGCAGAATCAAGAAGCTTACTCGCTAGAGTTGAAGAAGGGTCAAAATAAATTATGGAATGGGAAAATTTCAAAGGCTGATCCAGTCAAGATAGAAAAGGGATACAAACATACTGGAAAGATTGGGAATCTTGACAAGAACCATAGCAAAAGAGAATGATGGGGCAGGATGGAAACAACAATCACTTATTTTAAGACCGAACTCATCAATCAGATCAACTACGATCAGACCACCTCTCACTAGCACCATGCCCCTTATCTAATTTGGGGTCAAGGATAGCATTCCAGTCCCCCATTAAGACTAGTCATGCCGGGTCCACCAGGAACAGCCACAACTGACAGAAGGACAAACAACACTTCATCTGGTTGATAGGGAACTGTTGTGGTAGGATCCACCTAATTTGCATAGTGGAGTAAATATGGTTGGTACCGGGAAGAGAGGGAGGAATCAAGAGATTCAACCAGAGACTCTGCCCGACTGCGACTCAGTCAACACATTCTCCAGGAACGGTCTTACCAGGAATATACAAAAGACTATATGTAAATATTGTGTACACTTTCTTGTTTCAATACATTTTGTTCTAAGTACATTTTGTGTGCATTATTATTCCATGCATTAGTCAAGTTTCAACAGGAACATAAATAGCAATGACCCAAAACAAACGATTTTTTACAGTAATATTGGCCACAATCAGTTGACCCCTTGCATTGGCATGGACAAGATCTGCCTTCAAGTTCAGAGTATGCTTCATCAGCCAGGAAATCCTATCTTTATTATCCCTTTTCCTATGTTATATTTATTTACTCTCTCTCTCTCTCTCTCTCTCTCTCTCTCTCTCTCTCTCTCTCTCTCTCCACATTTATTTACATGTCTATCCTTTTTGGCTCTGATTGTTCATCTATCTTTTTATCAATACCTTATTTTTTTTCTTTTTCAGTTTCATGCATTATAATATGTTTGCCAGAACCAATGGACACAGAATAGGTGTTCCAAAAATTGCTATAATCATCACAGATGGTAGATCCAACAATGCTATAAAGACTAGCCAAGAAGCAATGGCAGCACAACAAGATAATATAATCATGTTTGCTATTGGAATTGGTTTTCGAGTAAACAATGTTGAATTAGAATCAATTGCTTCAAAGCCAACAAAAACTCACTTGTTCAACATCAAAGATTTCATGGCATTGGAATCAATTGTCAATTCTTTAGCAAATAAGACCTGTAAAGGTGAGATTAAAATAGTTTTTTCTTTAAGGGAAGTGAGTAATCTCATAATTCACAGTAACTTGATTTTTATTTTGTTAATTATTTTCATATTTAATATTTATTAACTTACAAAAATTTAATCTTTTGATATTTTATAAGTACATTACAATTACAACATTCCCTGCAAGTTATAAGTAATTTAAAACATAAATAAACTATGATATTTTATTTGTAAAATTTAAAATAACAGAAAATTCTCTTTCTGCTATGTCATAAAAATGTTCAATACAGAAATGAACAAATTGCTTATCATCAGCATTAAATATTAAATTTAATTCAGCATTTATTGTTTACATTATAGTATTATTAATTATATTTTTTCCAATCTCATGATTTTCAAATATTTCTTGTGCATAACTGTATAATTCATTCATAATACCACAATTTTTATTTTTGCTTAAACCTTCTGGATATTTTATGTAATATTTATTGTTGATATTTTTAATCTCATTTAATAATATTATTTTTTGATATTTTTAAAAATTTATTTAATATTTATATTATGAAAACTTATTATTCAAAAATTGCACTGATAGTTTTTAATTTTTAATTAATGCCATAATTATTTGTCTATGATACACCCTCGTGTTTATTAGATGACCTAACTCTGAGCTGCAAATTCCTGGCAAAAAATATATCTCATATAAAATATACAGTGACTTTTACAATTTGCTGCAACTAAATTTAGCATTTGTTCAGCTTTTATCCAATTCGTATCAACTAAAATAATAATTTATATATTACAAATTATGTTTTCAAGCTCAAAATTTACACAATATTTAGAACAAAAACACAGATATGTGCATAAAAAATGAAACAAGTTTGCAGCAAAAATAAATTCACTCAAGGACAAACAAATTTATAAACAAATACATATTCAAGTGACCAGCAGGTATTTTTCAGTAGGAGTGTAAAATAGTACATGACACTTAAAAGAACTGAGAAATTTTTCTACCTTTTGTTGATACCCAACTCTTAGTCACAATGCAACTCTGCTCATAGCATCTCTCATTAAACTCAGTCATGCATCACTTATCAAAAACGACATTTATTATACAATATGTGATTCTGTCCATTATTTTGATCATGATGTCTAAATGATCATCTTATATATAAAGTACAATGTATGTGTGTGTGTTTGTGCATGAGTGTGTCCAAGCAACTCCATTAGTCCAATTTCAATGATTCATAGCTCATTCAAAAGCCCTAGAAAAGTTAGGTGCAGGGAACGATTTTCGTTGAGCTCAGATTCAGGGTTGCCAGTTTATGCAAGGTTAAAAATATATATTAATATATTATACTAGCCATTATTGTTGCTTTCATGGTTCAAGGGGAGTAGCTCTTATTTTCCTTTTGTATCCAAAACTGCAACTAGCTTAAAATTTTAAAGAATCTTCCTATACAATTCAAGTTTGGATCATGAATTTTAAATATATTTTAAATTAAAAGTGAAAATGGGACACATTTTTATCATTTGATGCAGTTTTATTTCCAGAAAATAAAAAAACACTATGCAAACAGAAAAAAAATATGTGTATTTATGGAGATGATGCCAAATTTGAGAGTACTGTTCATAAGGGGTTTGTTACATTCAGAAGTGGAAAATTTAATCTGGAAGACAGAGGAGATTTTGGTTGGCCTGCAGTCATTGATGATGACTAAATCAAAATATGTGATTGGGAATAATCCTTGTCATATGGCACAGATCATTTCAGAGATACTCTATATAACTCATATGAGATTTAGAAGTCATTTGAAAACACTTGAATATATGAAATGCTGCAATCTTCTGGTGCTTCATGATTTAATAGGAAATACTGAATGAAGCACATTTCCATCTGCAATCCACTACAAAAGTGCAATAAAAAATAACTCAATGAATCACCACAGGTAATGAATAGAAAGCAGTTGGACTTGGTCAATTGGAAGGGTGTTGTCTTCCATCAGGACAACACCAGACCTCACATCTCTTTGCAAGGCTGACAGGAATTGGTACAAATTGGCAGTGATATCCTATTAGATCTGTGATATTTGCCTTAGCTTGCACCTTCAGATTATCACTTATTTTGATACATACAAAATTCTCTAAATAGGAAGAAACCTGTAAAAACAATTTAAGCCAGTTCATTACAAATGACAAATGCTAAGTTCTGGGAGGATGAAATCCTGAAGATACTTCAAAGAGAAATGGAATAGTGAGAATAGTGGAACAAACTGGCACATATATTAAATACTGTCTTTGAATTTCACATAAAAATGCTACAAATCTTTTTTCCAAACCAACAGCTTATCCAGGGTTCTTCGGAACTTGTTATTGTTCTGTGATTCTGCATTCTTCACTATTTACATTATTCGGACTATTGTCCTCATCTTTGTCGCAATGTTTATCACAATGATTTGGGTGTTGTAAGCTCTGGCCTTCTTCAGGTGGTTGGAATGTTGAACTGAAGCCTTTATTTTGCTCATTGTTCTAGTTCCACATGCCATGTCTAATGGATGTCACCTTTATCCTCTGTGCCATGTGTCCTTGGGTGTAAGGACACATGGCACAGTGAATAAGGGTGTTAGTTAGATCCAGTGAGAGGACCCAAAGAGTGTGAGTTCAATACCTGGTTAATGCAGTGGAGAACTTTCAGAGGGGAATTAACAGGAGATGACTGAGCATGCGCTCTCATCTTTATAACTTGCTGCAATTGTTTTCTAGAGTTTTTGGTGAGATTTGAATAAGTCTTTTCTGGGATTTTCTTCCATTTTTCAATGGTTACACATTCTAATTCCTGAAGGTTTTTGGTGACCAACAGTTTATTTGAACTTACAATTCTTGCCATAGATTTCCAATAGGATTGAAGTCAGGACTCATTGAAGGCCATGGCATAACAATAATCTTCTTTTTCTGAAGTCACACAGTCACTGATTTAGACGTATATTTGGGATCATTATCTTGCAGAAAAGTAAATCACCAACCTAGATGAAGATTTTGCACTGATATTTGTAGATTTTTTTCTGAATGCAGCAAGTTATAAAGATGAGAGGCCATGCTATCGACTATTAATATTGTGAAAATTGTTGATTTTTTAAAATTTTTCATACTGTATGAATGATTTAGTCTTTTCTTATTTTGCATAATTCAACTGTCAAATTTGTTGTATTTAATCTATGGTCCTGAAAATTAAGTTTTCTATTCCTTTCTTTGTGCTTATTAACATATAAAAATATCCAGCATTGGATTCTGAGTAATGGATAAAAATATTCAAAACTGAAGAATGTACATTTAATTTCATTATCGACTATATATATATATATATATATATATATATATATATATATATATATATATTTATTTGGCTGAATTGATGTGAGTTTGTGACCTTGGGTTTCATGCTTTTGCGATCGTCAGACAAACTGATTCATTTTTTTTAAATTTTGGGTTTATGTAGATTGCGTGTATTGGTGTTATTATGGAAGTAGGGGTGGGAAATCGTCATCGTGATGTCACTCATGCTAACGCAAACATAGATGCATGTCCGTACACCCAATGAGGTACGGAGACACACATACACACTCGCTCATCTGCAAGGGCTCATACAGACATAAACATATTTGGACAGTATGGGATTTGACATATGTATGTATATGTGTGCTGTTGTCTATATACATACGCATTTGTATGTTGAAATTCAAAGATTGGAAGTGTAGCGAAAATTTCTCATGAATGTCTCATGAATGTATACATGTCAGCAATCAGAGCATTTTTCTATTTTTTTCGCTGAATAATATTTCCTTGTATGCATGTATATACGTGTGGTGGGGTCTGTGTAAAATTATGATAGGTAAAAATTACTATTATTTTGATTTTTAATTTTTTAAAAGCTTTTTTGTTATTATTTTAAAGCTGGTTATTTGCTTGCTTTTGATGACTGTGTATATGTAACTGGTAGAAATTTCAGTTTGTAATCCTTATTGGTTATTTTTATGGTGGTATTAAATATGCCAGAGGAGGGGGTAGTTTACGCTAATAATTATAGTGAATTTATATGATAATAGTAGATGTGATGTGATAGTAATGTTGTAAGAGATTAGTGACAATGATAATATAAGTGGCTAATAGTTATTGTAAATTGGTAGAAGGGTCACAAACTCACATCAATCCAACCAAATATGTTAGCTCTATCTCTGATATTGAGCACTTTCTAATAAGTACCGCGCATATAATATATAAATAATTATATATATATATATATATATATTTATATTTATATACACACACTTTTCACATATATATATATATATATATAGTTTTAAGGTATGCTATATTTATTGTTTAAAGCATAAATATAAAAGTGTACATTGAGGTCAACACCCAGAGGCAACAGTCTGCTTCCTAACACTATCTTCAGGCCTGAAGATTGCATTTATGTATGTGTGTGTGGGGGGGTGTATGTATATGCACACTGTTATGATGTGATATGGTGTACATTCCTAAAGAAAGATTGAACATCATTAACATTTATATCTGCCAGGTGATATAACAAACAGGGAGATGACTGACCCCAAGCAAATCTCTATTGCGATTCTGATTGGTTAATAAGGGAATGGGTCAAGGGAGATAATGTGGTTTGTATTTACTCAATACATCACATCTTCCTTCTTGAAAAAGTTAGTATTACTCATTTACTTTATGAGGTTTTCATTTTTTTGTGTACAATCAATTTTAGAACTGTAGCATTTGTTTTTAGTTCTTTTAGTTTTTTGAATCCCTTGGAATATTGTCTTTAGTCAGTTCACATAGTGCTGCAGAAATGTCTGATAAATTTAGGATGAATTTGGCACGATAATTACCATTCCCCAAAATCTCAGTATTTCTTGTTTGTTTGTGGTTTGTGGAATGTTAACCACTGCACCTACATGTTCTGGGTTTGGTTTAACATCATGACAGGTGAGTAACATAACTGAATTCATTCTTTCCAATCTCTGCTTTGTCAGAATTTAATTTAAGACCTGCTTGAGAAACTCAGTAGAGAACTTCTTCAGGCCGCTTGTCAGGTTCTTTTTGAAAGTTCCTCATATCAAAATATCATCGACAATAATTCTTATGCTCTCAATATCTTCCATGATGTTTTCCATAGCATAATATCACCTGAGCTACATAATCCAAATGGTAGATAAACAAGGTGCTTATCTACCAAATATGGTATTTATGGTACATAACTTTGAGCTCTATTTGCCTAGCTCTTTTTGCCAGTAACTGTTTCATACATCAAGTTTAGTAAACTTACTTGCATTTCCTATTTGTGCAGTACCTTCCTTAACCATGGTTGTTGGGTAATGCATACCTTTGATAACTTTTTTTGAGGTCTGTAGTACCAATACGGATTTGTAGTTTGTTACATGTTTGTACTGTGACTATAGTGTTTTCTCATGCAATTGGTCCCTGAGGTTTGATTATGACACCAAGCTGCTTCATGCAGTCAAGCTCTACTTTCATTTGTTCCTTTCATGGGAGGTGTATTACGGATTTAGAATCTAGTTTTAGTTTGATGGAATATTTACCAGGTAGCTTTCCAAGGCCTTCACATAACTGTGGAAAGTATAGTGATAAGCTCATAGAATTTATCTCCAGTCTTTTGAGCAATCCTAACTCTCTATATACATTTTTTTAGGATGGTTGAAACCTTCAGGTTAATAATTTGAAATGTCAGGTGTCTTAACTTGTTTCTGATAGAGTATTTCAGTTTTACCTGTCCTTTGGCTTGAATGATCTGTTGATTGTAACTTTTCAGTCACATGCTGGTCATCTGGAATGGATTGGTATAAAATTCACAAAGTATATTTATATGTATTAGGCTGGCCTATGCTGCAGTGTCTAGCTTAAATTTAATAATTGTAGTGCCATTTACCTTGATCTCTTGTGTCCAGTCGGATGTCACCACATTTGTTTCTAATGTGATGTCATCAAGTGTCAGTATGAAGATGAGTCATTACATTCATTAGCATTTATTTCTATCATATCTGGTCATTCAGAATGGCACATGCTAGCAAAATGGTTACATATGTGGCATTTTTCACGCGTGCTTCTGTAAGCAGTGCATTGTTTCAGTGGGTGATTTTTTCCACATTTGCCATATAAAATGTGATATTTCAGACTGGTTTTCTGATATTGGAGTAGTGGGCTTTTAAATTTTCTTGTTCTATGTTACTGCCAAAATTGATATTTCCAATTTATGTTTTTTTTTTTACTTGGGTCTGACTGATTTCAATTGCTCAGCATTTGTCTATTGCTGTTTTTAGCCTTAATTCAGGATCCTGAAGTAGTAACTCTCATATATCTTCGTTTTGGATTCCACATACAACCCTGTCTTTTACTAAACCATCCTGGAGATTGCCAAATTCACAGAATTTAGCTTTTAGGTTCATATTAGTCAGGAATGAGTCCATTTTTTCCAACAGTAACTGGTTTCTGCCAAAAAAATAAGTATCTGACATATGTTATATTTTTTGCTTGGTTGGTAGTATTAGCAGAATTTATTTTTTCACACATTGTATTTTATTTTTAGCATCCAAGCTTTCAAACTTGAATGAATTGAAAATTTGTTGTTGCTTGTGGTCCTGCTATGTGTAAGAATGTTGCAACCTGTAGCAGTTCATCTTTTGTTACCACCTCAATGACGAGTGAATAAAAATCATATTGTTTAACCCATAATTTGTAATTTCTTCAAAGTTTAGGTTTTTGGTGGTTTCAAATTCATTTTTGTTTTTCTTTGATTTGTGTTTGCTCCTTTGAAGTTATTTCAGGATGTCTACGCAAGTGTATGTTTGTATGTATGGTGAGTGTATGTCTATGTATGTATGTATGTATGTATATATGACTATGTATTTAGATATGTCTATGTATTTATGTATGTCTATGTATGTATGCATGTATGTATAGTGAGTGTATGTCTATGTATGTATGTATGTCTATGTATTTATGTATGTCTATGTATGTATATATGTATGTATGGTGAGTGTATGTCTATGTATGTATGTATGTCTATGTATTTATGTATGTCTATGTATGTATATATGTATGTATGGTGAGTGTATGTCTATGTATGCATGTATGTAGGTCTATATATTTATATATGTCTATGTATGTATGTATGTATGCCTATGTACTTATGTATGTCTATGTATGTATGTATGTATGTATGTATGGTGAGTGTATGTCTATGTATGTATGTATGACTATGTATTTATGTATGTCTATGTATGTATGTACGTATATATGGTGAGTGTATGTCTATGTATGTATGTATGTATGTCTATGTATTTATGTATGTCTATGCATGTATGTATGTATGTATGTGTGTATGTATGTATGGTGAGTGTATGTCTATGTGTGTATGTATGTGTGTCTATGTATTTATGTATGTCTATATATGTATGTATGTATGTATATATGATGAGTGTATGTCTATGGATGTACGTATGTATGTATGTATGTATGTCTATGTACGTATGTATGTATGTATGTATGGTGAGTGTATGTCTATGTATGTATGGTATGAATGGTGAGTGTATGTCTATGTGAGTGTATGTTGAGTTCTTATTGCTACTATTAGTGATGCAACTTTCAAACCAAGAAATGCTTCATTTTTCTTTCTTCCAATGTTGGTCTTTTCCAGTTCTTTCGTATTTTTTTTTTTTTGGTACATGTGGGCAGGTTGCATTATCCTGAGGGCATGTTATGATATGACATTGTTGTACATGTCAAAAGAAATAAGTTGAACCCCATTAACATTTGAATCTTCCAGGCTCAATTACTTACAGGGAGACAACTGACCCAATGCAAATCTTTATTAGAATTCTAATTGATTAATAAGGGAATGGACTAAGGGAGATAATTAACTTTTTATTTCCTAAATACATCACACACAATATTTTAAATTATTTTCTGATAATCTTTTCAGGCCATCATTTGAATAAAGAATATAGCAAATGAAAAAGAATTGCAAATAAAGAAATCAAATGAATTGAATTTTGTTAATTCATCTTTTTATATATTTTTTTTATAATTTAATCTTTTTGTTTTTTTGTCTTCAGAGATTCCAAAAGACAGCAAACCATTGAGTAAGTTTTAGAATTTAACTATTTTCTTTTTGATTCAAAAATATCTCTTTTCCTTCAAACTTTATTTTCTATCAACCACAATGGTAAGATAGCTTACACATTACTGTAACGAACTACTTTCATGGTGGCAATTACTCAACTGAAGATTGTTTTAATTAAAAACTATTAATGAAAAAGCTCCAGCAATTGAAATAGTCATCTTTGAAGACAATATATAATTTAAAGCAGAAATATTGACAGCCAAATATGTTGAAGTGTTTGCATGAAAGTGTAACATTAATATTAATTTTTGACTAGATTTTCTTAATTTTAACAAATCTTTTATCCATACTTCAAAATCTCCAGGGCAAAGGGATTTACTTAGCAGTATATACTTCTTCTTGAGTGTTAGCATTCATCTCCTCACTAGAATATTTAGAGATACCTAACTATAACATGAGAGAAGGTAGATATAGTTTTCACGATACTAGCAGCAAGCAACGATCTTTGATCTGACTGACTCACTGCACTTTTTCTCCAACAACAACCCTATCATGATATGGTGGACACTTTTTTCATGGTATCTGGTGAACAGATATAGCACAGAAAGAGGCAGACTCATAACTTCCCAGGGATATTTGCTTGAAGTCGCCCAATGTCTTGAAGTAGAATTTGAACGTAGTTTATTGATTTTGTTTTATGCTAACTTTAACTTATCTACTTTAAATGAAAACCAATTTTGTTTTTTGTTTGTTTTTTTATAAGCATTCAGCCCCAAGCAAGGCGGGAAGCCACTAGTATGCAAGGGGTTACAGAGAGTTGGAGCAAGACTAAAGAGGAGTGATAGAGGAAAGGATGAAGAGAAGGTTAGGGGATAGATCAGGGCATCTTGAGACATTGATTGACATTACATTGGAATAGTTGGAGATTATATCTATCAGGAAAACGAGAAATGGGGAGGGAGTTCCACAGGGGAGAAGTGTGAGACATGAAGATATTGGAGTAGAAGAGATGGCTACATCTAACAGTTCTGACAGTGAAAGGGTGAGAGCGAGATGCCAGCCTATATATATATATATATATATAAGTCTGATATATATATATATATTATTTATTTAAAAATATGATTCCAACACGCTACATACGAGTTCTCATGTTTCAAAACAAGAGCCGAAAACTTCAATATAATTATTTGAATTAAATTGAATTAAAGTATTAAGCTCTGTTCCATCTTCAAGTGAAATTTTTTTTTTTTTTGGACCTAACGAGTTCTTTCCTATTTTCTATATATTTTTCACACATATATATATATATATGTATATATAAGCAAGTAAGCTGGCCTCTTATATTCCACATCTGGTAGAAAAGAAAAATTCAGTGATTTAATAAAGGCTAAATTGCTATGACCAGAAAAATTGGCCACAGTATTTCTGAACTGGTACTACAAGTGAAATGCCTCATATTTAGTAGAAGTAAGTGGCTTGCAACAGTAATTTTATAGAGGATAACAAAACATTAACTATTGAGAAGGCATTGGGAGGGCCAAGGCTTATCAATGCAGAAGGTGAATGGAGGGTTCCTCTCAAAGTATAACCTACAAAAAGGATTACTGTAGCACAAACTGCAGATAATTTTAATCAAGATGTATGTATCACAATACACAATGTAATGATCATTGTTGTGTAAGAGGCTGTGTAATTGAAGGTCAATCAGAGTCCTTATGCTAATCAATGTTCATCACTAAAAATATCTTCAATTAACATACACTCATTGAAACTAGACTTTCAAACAACAAGAGAAGTTCACTTAGCCCATCAAATTTTGCTTTCTCCTCATTAAGGTGGATAGTAATGTATGTGTGCATCATTATCCTGGGGAAATGGTGGCACATAGTTGTGGACTAACAATAAGCCAGTAAATTCAGTATATTGGTTTAAGCGGTGATCTACCAGAAAATATGGGTTCCTTTCATTCATGCAGAAGGTAGTGTAGTGACAAAAGTACGCACGTGTAGGCTTTAAGAAAGATTTAGTCAACTGCGAATACAAGGTTCATGTATAGTGTCCTTTTATAGTCCCAGTAAACAGAAATAGCTCTCTCAAAGAGGGAAGTAACAAAACAAGGGGGTACCCCTCTTGATTATTCATAACAGGTAGTTTGTAATATATCACCCATATCAATGTCATTGAAGACCAGGTACACCACTTCATGGTAAAAGTTTTTTGTGATGACTGGGGCATCTTTCAGCAGGACAATGTGCCATGCCAAACTGCATGAGGCTTACAGGAATGGTTTCAAGGACATGAAAAACACTTCTCTGTATTATCTTGGTCTCCAAACTCTCTTGATCTCAATTGAATACTTATTTGAATGAACAAGTTCACTCTGCAAAACCTTCAATATGTCACTTGCAGAAGTTAAAAGACTTGCTGTTAATCTGGTACATCTTATTACCAGAGTCCAGAGAATAACATTTCTGCCTGTAATATTTTATTTATCTCATTTCTATATTTTAGCATGCCAAGACAAGATTCTACGATGCCATGAATTCAAGCCAGAAGTCTGCAAAGACTACCCTCATTGGTCACATGATTTCTGTCCACATTATTGTGGAATGTGCTTTAGTAAGTTTTGCTATTTTTTTTTCTTTGTTTATTAAAAACAGTTAAATTTTCATAAGCAATTAAAACAAAGCCTATTTGTAAATAAATTAGTGCACATTTTCCAATACCTCCAGTACAGAGAATATCAAATTCTATTTATTTATTTTTTCCTCTACATATATATGTATGAAAAGGAAACGAAAACTAATTCCAATTGTCATCTTCTTGGGAAAAGGTTCAGGAGTAAACATTGAGTATCAAATCTGGAGCAAGATTTTCATATGTAGTCCATGATTAAATGTAACTTTGTTCTAGCAACACCTATGATGACACTGATACCAAACAATGTCAGCTTCACTTTCCTTGGCTAATATTGCTGGTGTGAAGAAGAGAGGTGTACTACATGGACAACTGCCAATCTCCTATAAACAATTCATCCCAGGCTTGTCCCCAGGAAAGGAAACTCCAGTACTGCCACACCTATACTCATTTTGTAAAACATACTCGTCAATACCACCACCAGCTTTAAAAAAAAACTCATCAGGCACAGATCCATGGTCACTCTAGGATATTTCACATATCCATATATACATATAAAATTTTTTTTATAAATTAAGCACAACAGGAGTTTAACAATATACTTGAATAAAAGTTATATATGACAGGAAATTAATTCTTATGATAGATCTTTACAACCTTAGTGTTGTGAAGTCCTAAGACATTTCTTGTTACTACTCAGTTGCTCAGGCATACTCCCTCCTTCTCCTCCTCCTCCTAATAAAAGTCATTTTATAACCTGGATATTCCAGATATGTTAATTCTTTCTTTTTATGTGCCAAGATATAGACAATCATAGCTCTCCACTTCTCCATATCCCTTGTAGCTCTCAATAAGTTTTGTTCCTCTGTCACCTCCCCCAGCCCACATTCTACCATCCACTTGCTCAAGCCTGCCAGGTATGTCATGTGTTGCTTTCCCTTGTCTCTCTTTCCCTCTATTCAACCTGTGAGTATCAGATTCTCCTAGCCCTCCTTTCTCATTACGTGTCCCAGACACTTCAGCTGCCTCTTCTTAGTTAATCTAAATATCACTTCACTTAGAATACAATTTATTCTGTTCTTATTGAGAACCATCACCATATGGCTTAAGGGAACTACATTACCATTTCTCTTTTACCTGTCTGAATTACCAGTATTGTTCCTTTTGTGCTTTGGGATTATAATTAAATAATAGTTATGAATTGTTTATTTCTAGATTTGACCAAGGGTAACTGAAATCATGAAAGAAAAACTGTAGATAAGAGTTAGGGAGCATTTCATAAAGAAAATCCAGTGTATCTATGTGTTTAGTGAGAAACTAAAAAACATTTTTGAATTATTTAACACAGAAATACTTTCTTAGTGAACAGATTGGATTAATAGATATCTAAATCTTTTTGTGAGAATAAATCTATACAATATCTGTCTATATCTCTGAGATGAGGTATTATGATTACTTATATTATTTACATTATTCAGACAGTTACCCTCATCTTCATTGCCATATTCACAATGTTTGGGCCGTTGTACACTCCGGCGTTCTTCAGCTGATTGGAATTTTGAACCGAACCCTTTATCTCATCCACCAGGTTAGATTGTTCTAGTTCCATGTGCCTTGATACATGTTCCAGTGGATAAAGTCGTTGGTTAGATCCAGTGACTAGACCCAAAGAGTTGTGAGTTCAATACCAGGCCACAGCAGTGGTGAACCAAACTTGAAGAATTGAGTTAAAGGGAAATAACTGAGACATCCAGAAGAGGCATGACACGTGGAACTAGAAGAATCTACCCCAGTGAACTAAATAAAGGGTTTGGTTCAAAATTCTAATCCCCTGAAGAAGGCTAGAGCATACAATAGCCGAAATGTTGTGAATATACCAATGAAGATGAAGATAACAGTCCAAATAATATAAATAATTTAAGAAATCTGTACAAACAGAATTAAATATTTAAAGAATGAATAAACAAGAAAAGTCAGTAGTTTAGGGATTAAGTTTGACTTTAGGGCTCTTATTAAGTAAAACTTATGAATTGGTCAAAGTGTTACCTTTCAGTAACTGTAAGTTCATATAAAGTGTTGACATTACTCTATTTACCTCTGTAAATAGAATAATGCCCACACTTTATATGAAATTTCAGTTACTGAAAGACAACCTCATGAACAATTTGTAAGTTTTACTCTGCTTTTTTATATCGTTTCTTTAATATATTTTTCTTCTTAGCTTCTTCCAGATGCATTGATGTAGCTCCAACATGTCATCTGCTACAAAAGAAAAACTGTGTAGAATTTCCAGCCTGGTCTCGTGAAAACTGTGCCAAATCATGCGGGTTTTGTGAAAATAAAGGTAAACTTGGTATTTAACTGTGACATTTACTTCTCAACATCAGTGTGATATCTTTCAGAAAATTTGATTACTTTTTCATAGTTGTTTTCAAGCTGCAGTATGTTGCCTACATAGTGAAGATGGAGGATGGCAACTCTCCAAAAGCTGCCCTATTTATAGAACTAGTCTCTGGTGGGCATAGAATCTGTACCCAACTGATGAGATAAAAAGATTTATTGAAAAGAACCTTCATTTCTTGTGGACTCAACCAACTTTAAAGTGATATAAAGACAGCCAAGAGTGTGACACTGAGGCACAGAATTTACTTGACAATCTTGCTGAATCAAGCTGCAGAAAAATACAAAAGAAAAAAGGCAGCTTCACAAAGCTGAATCATCTGCTGGTTGCAGTTGATGTGGAAAAGCCTGCCTCTTGTATATGTGCCTTGAAAACCCTGAAGCTAGTGTAGAAAACCTTCATAAGTATTTGTTCATGAAAGCATTATCATGATGAGCCTGATCATGTTTCTTTTTGTAATAGAATACACAACAGGATTTGATAAATACCAAATCAAGAATCGTTGTGAATATAACAATTTTGTACAGCATAATAAATAGCAATTAGCAGTCATTTCTATGAAGTTCAATATAATAAAGCTTTGTTTTTAATGTTAATCTATGTTTAATTTGGGTCATTTGTGTTGTTGATTTATAAAATTATTTTATGCATGGCACCTGTAGAAAAATGTCAGTGATGAGGCGGATTCCAAAATTTGGACCATGTGCAAAGAACTAAATCAAATTCATTAATAGATATAACTGATCTTACTGTTATTTTAGACAAAATACAAACAAAGACATTAATTTTGTGACAGAATTAGGACAAAAATTATTTTGAAGCTTGACTAAAAATTAGAATAAAACCTTAAATTTGGAAAGATTTTTTGTACTTTATTTTAACATTTTACCATTTCAAGCAGTTTTTTGCCTAAATTTCTTAATTTTCTTTAATTTCAAGGAAACAAAACAGAAATTGGTGATAAAGGTAAGAAAAAAATTTTGATTCTTAATTAAAATTCAAAATTACTAAAGATCCTTCTTTAATGATGGGATGAAGTTGTTTGAATTAGTGGTTTCATTCCTTCTGTTGCTTTTATTGTTACTGCTGTAACCTAGGAAAAGTTACTGAATAGAATAATCATGCAAAGGTTGGTAATGAATGATAATATTTAGGACAAGAACAACACATATAAGATTCACCAGCAGTGCATAGAAGTTAACTGTTAGAAGTGAGTCAAGTGAATTCCACAATGTTACAGTATTTACTACTGTATTTATGTGAATTGAGACATACCAATTAATCTACATAATAATGCTACAATAGATAGATAGATAGATAGATAGATAGATAGATAATGAACAGAATAAGATAGATAGATAGATAGATAGATAGATAGATAGATAGATAGATAGATAGATAATGAACAGAATAAGGTAGATAGATAGATAGATGATGAACAGAATAAGATAGATAGATAGATAGATAGATAGATAGATAGATAGATAGATAGATAGATAATGAACAGAATAAGATAGATAGATAGATAGATAGATAGATAGATAGATAATGAACAGAATAAGGTAGATAGGTAGATAGATGATGAACAGAATAAGGTAGATAGGTAGATAGATGATGAACAGAATAAGATAGATAGATAGATAGATATGAATGGAATGAGATAGATAGATATGAAAAGAATGTGATAGATAGATATGAAAAGAATGTGATAGATAGATAGACACATAGATATGAACAGAATGAGATAGATAGTGTTGTAATCTAGGGAAGGTTACTGAATAAAATAATCACATGAAGGTTGGATATGAATGATAATATTTAGGACAAGAACAACACGTATAAGATTCGCCAGTGATGCATAGAAGAAGTAGTCAACTGCTAGAAGTGAGTCAAGTGAATTCCACAATGAATCCCCAACTGCAGACCAACATACAGTATTTACTACTGTATTTATATGAATGGGGACATACCAATTCTCATCCATAGATATGCTACAACAGTTACTACATTTCATTCAACTGATTCTCTTACTAGAAAGGATTGTGGATCTGTCTTTTTTGGCTCCTGCTCATTCCTTTCAAATGGGCAAATGAAAAAGTCATAGAATTGATCAGCTGAAATATTGTGCTAAATATAGACACATAAAATCATGAAATAAATGATTATTTTTTATTTGGGAGGAAATATTGTAATATTCTCATCCTTTCTATTTTGATCATGAAATTTTTACAAATGTTTGTCAACATTTCTCTCAATAGAATAAATCATTTTTTCTCTATTATAGCATTAAATTATACACATGAGGAAGTCAACTTAAGACATTGGAAAAAAATATGTCTTAAAATCAGTAAAGATGATGATAAAAGTTTCCCAAATAATCTGTGGCAAATATTATGAAAGATACTTTTGCTTATGCTCACTCTTATAATAATGATCTGATTACATGTAAAAAAAATGATATCATATTGAAAGAAGAAAATAAATGAAGAGATTGCATAGTACTGTGGATAAAACAATGATGCATATGGAATAATGATATTTTAATATCTGTCTAGTGAATATGACAATAAAGATGAAGACAACAGTCAGAACAATGTAAATAATGCAAATGATATTTTCATTTTAGAAAAAATATTGTGTTTTATATAAATGAATTTTAAAAATAAAATAAACATATCATTATTTCATATCTATTATTATTTCATACAAAAACAATCATTTCTTTTTCTTTTCCTCTTCCATTATTAACATTCTTATAGTTTATTCAAAGACAATTTTCCTAATTTGTAAGCGCATATATGTTTAAAGATCATTTGGCACTAGACACCTGCTGATCAGGGATTTACTCAAAGAACAAGTAGAGGTAACTTTGAATTTTAAATATAATTGGAGTTTGGCTAATTACAGAATGGTTTCTTTTATTTATTTATATGCAAATACTTACAAATTCTGCAAAAAGGAAGTTATTTGACATTGCTTCAGCTGCCTCTATGTGAGTATTATTACAGCAAAGAAAAACAGCTGTAATTGGCATGTGATTATCATAACAGGCAGAGGAAATAGCTGACAAATGTTCAGTTGTGTGTCTCTGCCATTCATACAAATGACTTTGTTATACTTAAATCAGATACAAAACAGTGTGCTTGTGAGCTCTTTAAAGTGACAAGCATGATCACAGTATGATTCACAACAGTCAGGCATTTTGTTGCAACCACTTAGCAACTATATGCATGTTGCTAACCATCTGGTGACCGTTGGTGTGTTGATCATATGATAATCGTTGGCATGTTGATAAATCATCACTAATTCTTTATTTGTTCTACATTTATTAAAGATAATTTTCTACAGTTTTTTCCACAGTGTAGAGGGTGTGATGGATAAATTTTCACCATTTTATATTTTTAATTTTATGCAGCAGTGTTGTTTGTTTTTTATTTTGTCTACTGCATGACATAGTAGGGTCAGTTGGGCACCATCTGTGAGAAAAAGAGCACCATGACAGAAATTCACTCTACCAGATATTTAGAAACAGCACGCTGTACTGCTTGGCTCCAATATATGAACATTTTGGAATGTTTGGGTGTCAATCTGAGGACAGTACCAAGGATTCAGAAAGAGCTGGATGAGTCTAATGGTGATTACAAAGGTATGCCAGCTCAAAAAACTCACTCAGATCATTCTGATAAGAAATGAACTCTTTTATTTGTTGGTGAGAGCCTCAGACTCAATATGGAAGCCTACACGAAGTGCTTTGAGTAGGTTGCCCTGGGTCAAGAGGGTGGCTGCTGGCTGAACCTATATCTGGCAACATGATTCAGCACCATGGACACAAGCAGGAGAACCTAGTATGGCTGTCAGACAATTTTTGTGACTGCATCACCCCTTACATCTGGCCACCTAACTCTCCAAACTGCAAAATTATTTGTGGGGTGCAGTTGAGCAAGATATCAACAAAACTCCTTGTAACACCAAAGATGAACTGAAGGTAAGGATTCACCACCTTAAACAAGGAAACCATCCAGAAGAGATGCAAGAAATTCTGAAGTCATCTGGAGGCTTGAAACCAATGATGATTCTATTGAAAAAATTTACTATTTAGCATTTCAAGATGCTTCTATGCAATTTTGGTAAATATATCTGTTAAAATGAGATGTCTGTTATTTTCATTTTTGTGTAATTTAGACGACAATTTATCCATCACACTCTTTACTGTTTGGCTGGTTAAAACATTAAGTAGTTTACATCATTTGTAATTTTAGTTAAACATTATTAAGTCATCCTTTAGTATCTGCAAATGGATTGGTTCTTGGAATTCACATACATATGAAAATTATTAATACGGAAGTGACAATTACTATGCCATTTTACATAAGCAATTTCAGCATTTTTTAAATGTTTATTTTGCTTAGATGGAAATAATTGTTTGCATTATTACTACATAAAAAAGATTAAAATTTTTATTACATTCTATAAAACTATAGATATTTGTGAAAAATGATAATACAAAAATTGTTTCCTGCTCAGCAAAAGAATTTGAATAATATATATCAGAATATTTTCAGCAAAAACAAAATGAACAAAATTTACATAAAATCAAATAAACATTGGATTTAATAAAATTTTTGGCAATTATTTCATAAAAGAGGAAATATTTTAAAAGAATTTTCCAAATACTGTACACAATGCAAATAATGCATGAACAGGGTGTGGCACTTTCAACCTTTGCTTCATGGGACTTGTCTGAAAATATTTTTAGTCTACATTTAGGTGCATATAAAAGGCTAAATTGTACACAATTCTGAATGTTTGTTTTGGTGTAAGGATTATCTACACAGCAAAAGAAATCAGCGAACTAGATCCAAATTCTTGCTGAAGCTATCTATGATTTCAGTGATCCCTCGTTTATCGCAGTAGATTTGTTACGAGACCAGCCGCGATAACTGAATTTCCACGAAGTAGGGATGCCATATTTACAGTATTTATTTAACGTGTATTTGGACTTTTAAAACCCTCCCTGTACTGTTAACAACCCATCCATTACAGTACTCTATTAATAACAAGGACAACTGTTAAGCAATAACACTTTAGATTAAAAAAAAATAAAGCCTGTTACTGTATTCAACTCAATAGAAGTTGAAGTAGAATTTGAATGATGATGATGATGAATTTGCTGCACAGTAGAAATGATGATGATGAAGCTGATTATGACTTCTAATGTGCAGTCGATAATCGTATTTTATGTCTCTACAGACGACGGTGACCTTTCTATTGCTATTTTACGCTTTTTTTGTTGTTCCTAGACCAGGAAATAATATTTATTATTAATATTTTAATGGGTTTAATGAAAAATTTTAGGTGTTCATATATGGTGATTTTTCTAGAACTTTCCAGAAACTCCACAATATATTTTCTATATATATATCTTAAAAATCCACAAAGTTGTGAATCCATGATAGTAGAACCATGAATTAGCAAGGGATCACTGTATATTATTTTAATACCTTTGAGAAAACTATGAATCCACTTAATAATTAAAATAACATCCAGCCTTATATGTTCCGAAAATATTTGGTATTAATAAGTTTATAAAATATCCAATTATAAATTATAAGTTTCTACCTATAAACCACTAATGCTCACTGCACCAAAAATTGGATGGTGATCATTAATTGGTGATGTGATGGAATAACCTGCCACCCCCATGAGTGGCGGCACTATAGGTGATAACCACCTATAAGTATCCATTAGGACAGTGGACAGGAGAGTTGAGCTGGAATCTGTTAATCAGATCTTGGCTGCTGTCAAACCCTCTGCTTTGGGCGGAGAGGAAACCGGACAAGGTTATGCCGAAGAACAGAGTCTCGTTCATTGAGGTAGACAGACCCAAACCCGTTTATGCGAGGTTATGGTGAATTTTTGGCCGAGTGTACAGGCTCAGACTGCCCTACATTAAACTCAGCCTTGTGCCACATCCTTCCTCATGGGGAGGCAGATAAATACCATTGAGCTGGAATCTGCGAGAACTAGCAGCCTCCCGAAAGCAGCACGCACACAACTGTACTGACTTGCGATAACCATGTGCATAGCTATTACTTCCTTGCTTGTTGTACTGGTTTCTACAATAAACCTGTTACTATTTATCCACCATGTTTGTCCATTACATATTCTTATTAGTACAGAATATAGCAATTGGTTAAACTAAATGGACCTATCATTCTTAACTGGACTTGACATTTCATGGTAATCTATTTAATCCAGTCTTCAAGATACATCTAATTTCAAGTTTTATAGCAAGGATTTTGAATTAGTTCTGAATTCTTAAAGAGTCAGTAATATTTGATTTTACTGGTTTATCTTTTGAAAATTTTTACTAGAATGTTTTCTCTTGTGATGTTATTATTAACGTCTTTTGCTTATAATTGTTTCTTTTTCAATTGAAAATTGCAGTATACTCATGTTCCTACAAAGGAAAAAAATACCAAACTGGGGATTCATGGCAAGATGGTTGTGAATATGAATGTTCCTGCCTTGATGCTCAAAGAGGAATGTATTCTTGCTGGAATCGGTAAAGATTTTTGCATTTGCTTTTCTCTAGTAAATGATATTAAAGCAAAAAACATGACCATTAATACATTTTCCTCTTTATCTAATAGTTCACTTCTCACAGTTCCATTAGACTGAAATCAACATAAAAATGAGAAATTTATACTTACCCTTAATAATGACACACAAGATGTTGACAATTTAGATATGCCAAAAAAAAGTTGTTAAATGTTTTAAGTAAAAAATGTGAACGTTCTCAACTTAATAAGAAAACAAAAACAAACTATGATGTGGTTACCAATATCTATAGAAAGAATATATTTCCTATTGATAGCATAATTTTTATTACAGAATATTATTATAATTATTCTACTCAATTATTAGTTATTTTTGTTAATCTTTTACTGTGCTTAATATGGTGTAATAATGGATAGCAGCTCAGATTGAGGAGTCGGAGAGCCGAGTTCAAATTCAAGTCAAATCCATCACATTCACTTACGTGCTAATACCCTTGTAAAAGGTATGAATCTTCTTCTTCTCCTCCTAGGTATGGATAAATAGCAAGACAAACTGGGTTCTATAGCTTTGGATGGCAACTGGTCTACCACAGAAAGAAATAGCAAACTATTGCAGGGAAAAAAACTGCCTCGTCAGTCATGTATCAAAAGAGATATGATCACCTAAACGTGTATCACACATGGCGCATAACTGACTGATGTATATTCAGTGTCTGTAGAGTTTCATGCCATTCATAGTTTCAGGGATCTACTGGAGATTTTGGAACATACCATCCACATATAAGGGGGAAAGTACTTTATTGGTTTATTCAAATTAATTTCCTCATATTCATTGTTTGGTTCTTCACAATATTTCAATCCTTTTACCATCCAGCTTTTCTCAGACATTTGTTGTAGTTTGTGATGCTGGAAAAAATTTAAACAACAGTCACTATTAAATTGTTAAAGCTTTAAAAAAGATTTTTAATTATTTACATGAAGACTATTGTCCACATCTTTGTTGTTCAAACAAAATTTCAACCATTGTGTCCTCTAGCCATCAGCAGGTATATATGCCAATCTGGACAACATACAGGAAATTTCAAACTGACCCCTTTATTTAATCTACAGGGATATAGTGTTCTCGTTTCACTGCCCATGTCTAGGGAAATCTCATCTAGTTTTTATTTTAGCACAGCTCAGTTATTGCCCACCTAATTTTCACTGGCTCCAAGAACATGTGGCAAGCAATAACTGTACTAAAATAAAAACTAGATGAGACATACCAAAACATGGGTAGTAGAACAAAAACAATCTACCCCCATAGATTAAGGGTTCAGTTCAAATTTTCTAGATTGACATACACCTGATGAAAACCAGAGAGAACAATGGCTGAAACATTGTAATGACAACAATTGCTGAAACACTGTAATGACAACAATGGCTGAAACATTATAATGACAATGATGGCTGAAACATTGTAATGACAACAATGGCTGAAACATTGTATGAGAACAATAGTCCACTTGTAAAGAATGATAACTCCCCATTCCAGAAATCCAGACAGTAAAATATGATTTTAATTATTTGAGTGATATTTTTCTATAAATTATTTTGCATTTTTTTTTTTTTTAATCAAGTCAATAAGATGTAAGAGGATAGTGAGAGTAAAAGAAACCGAGACAACAATAAAGAACAGGATTCAAGAAGACAGAAGATGTTATATTTAAATATTTAAATGTCATAGTTTACAGGAATGAAAAAAGTTTGAAGAGTATTTCACAAGTGTGAATTGCAGGAGAAGAAATTATTAACATAGAATTTATGGTTACAGCTAACAATTTCCATAGTGAAATTATGAGACTAAGATGCAAATCTAGTACTGTACTTAAATTTGTGAAGTTAAGGTACCAAAGTGGAAAGCTAATGAGAGCTAATTACCATGAAAATATTTATAGAAAAGACACAAGGAAACTACATTAGAGCAATGGGAATGTGACTGTAACTGAGATGCCAGGTCAGGACTGATAACATTGTAGATTTATGGTAGGATTTTGTCAGGAATCATAAGATGTATAGCAGAAGTACCAGACCACAATATTTCATGCAAAAATGAATGGTAGACTTATAAATGTGCAAAATCAATTGTGACAAGATAAATTTTCTCAAATGACATGGTGAACCAACTTACCTAGTAGCAGACCTAGAAATTGTTTCAATATAATCATTTTACTTCATGTTAGCGTAAAACATGGGACTGAGAAAGCACAATGAGTTTCTCTCCTAAAGGTTAGCATCAGCCATACTGATGGAAGACAGAAATGGTTCTCTAAGATGAATAAATAGAGCAGGTTTACTTTGGAGGCATTAAAATTAATGAGTTATTTCTTGCTCCACTTAACAACAGATCGAAGTTAATTTTCAATTTCATTTTATCAAACCTATCAGGCAAGAGTAAACAGTTGTCTTATCAGCATAGATAACTAGTTGGCAACTAAAAACATCAGTAAGTTTGTTGAGGATAATAAGGAATAAAATAGGTTGCAAGGATAATGCTCTATGCTGTTATTTTACAGATGTGGGTGGTATAATAGTTAAGAGCAGGAGGAATGTAATTGATGAACCAAGTTCAAATCCAGGCTGAGACAGTTTGAGTTCACTTGACATTAATATCCTTGAAAAGGACATGAAATTATTTCTAACCCTCAGTATTTACTGTAAGGTAGTCTATCTTAGATATCAGGTTAGTATACCATCTCTCTCAAATTTCACTTGATATTGAAACTATAGCATCATTAATTTCTCAGGATGGAACATTATGTCATAGAAAGCGTCTGAAAAAAAAAAGAAACATAGAAGTTAGATTCCCAGTTATTGACATGAAAGATAACATTAAAAAACTGAGTTTCACTTTGAAATGAGGATATTTACAGACAGACATGCTATGGGGAATGTTCTTTAATGCATATATCTTTTGTATTATTAATGATTCAAGAAAACAACGAAACTCCAAATGTGAATCAACAAGTATATATTGAAATAACATACAAGAACTAAATATACAATAATTTGTATTCAATGTATAGATTAAGGGAGAAGAAGTTGCCTCCCTTTTACTGTATTTTGATTTGTATTTGATTGTTCGAAAGAAAGTTCTCATGTGAGAAAAATGTTCAGGAATCAATATTAGAACAAAGGACTGTTTGTTAGAATATATAACACAAGAATACAATTGATCAGAAAGTGTGTTGTGTTAGAGAAATCAACAGAGTCCTGGTTGATTGAACTTGGCTGAATCACAGAGAGATATGTATATATGTATTACAAAATTCTATGTCTGTGTGTGCATTTGAAATGTTGTGAGTAAAGTCATAGGTTTGTGTTGACAGGCGAAATTTGCTGGACTCTACTGGCAGGTTATGACAAAGTCGTCTCTTTTTAAAGCTACAGGGAAACCGCGGGAAAAGTTGATTTTGCACTAAAATATGTGATTGGTTAAAATTTGACCAATCACTAAATTTGTACAAACAAAACAAGTAAGCAAGTTCAAAACTCAAAAATTCAAAGCAATGACTGCAATGGCTAAATTGTCCTATAGAAAGTCAGTATTGATTTATTAGCGAATCAGAAACAAATAAAATGTGGGCGTGAAAAAACATAGCAGTCGCTACAGACATATTTACAAATTAGTAAGCTCATAGCTTAATGGAGAAAAAGATCTTTATTTTGCGCAACAAATATAATATTCTTTGTTAATGCACTTAATTTATGGAAGAATATTAATGTCATAATGTCATGTTTCTGTATACAACAAATGTTAAGTACCAGCAAGAGAAAATAATAGCATGAAACTCAAGATGGCCTCCCTTTACACAATTTGTTCCTTCTTTTCACAAGATCACTTTCTTTTTTATAATGACAACAGAGTTATGTCACATTATAGGGAATTCAGCACACATTGTACAGACATTATACAGCAAAAATTTCAGATCAATATTCAATATATAAGCTTATTGATAATTTAAAGCTCCATTTCCATCTTTATTTTAGGTTTAGTTTTCTTGTATATTAAAATGTTTTCCTGACCCAATGCTTCTTAAGTTTCATGGATGACACACACAATCCCTCCACCCTACAAAAACAACACAAAAAACAAATTGCAGTAATAATGGTCTTCAAGAATATCTTATTAATCAGTGCTACACAATGAATTATCATTTTTACTAAGCTTAACTTATTTTGGCACAAAGTCCCAAATATGTGTCACCCAGTGAAGATCCAACTCACTATTGCTGTATTGTTCTTCAAAAATAGCTTTTTATACAGTCAGGCATCTTACTTTATATTGTCTAAGCTTATTTGGCTCAACATGATAATGGCAAAGCAACCAATGAGGATTCAATATAATACAGTAATAATGATCTGCCTTTTAGCCATGGCTACAGAGTAAATCCTCATATTTATGAAACTTAGACAGACATGATAATATAGGGTACTAAGGGACAATAAAAACTTATAATTATTGTTTTAAGAATAACTTACTAATCATTACTAAGTAGTGAAACAGCTTGCATAGAATAAAAAATATCAACTTAATAAATTTTCTTTATTTTTACTTTTGTCTCATCTGGCAAGTTGTTCTATAACTCATGTTTCTTTTTCACAGTTTACTGAATATATATTTCCTATATAAAGGAAAATTATACTGAAAGTCAATAATCGTTATTTTAAATATTAAAAATTTAATGTTATCAGAAATTTAGAAATATTTTTCCAGTTTAAATTTTTTTAATTTATTATTTTTATTTTTTACTTTTTTTAATTTTATGTTTTATTTTTTTAATTATTATTATTTTTATTTTTAATTTTATTTGATGCAAACAAAACTGAAACTAATTGCTAATGACATCCGCTGAGATGATTTTTAAGAACATTTTTAAAGTATGCTTGATGTTGTTTTAATTTTAGAAAGAGAATCAAAGAAATAGGCATAAATTTGAATGATGCTTAAGACTGTGATTTTCAAGCATTTTACTATATTTTACAAAATATCAACTCCCTGCTTTCAAGATTGTCTTATTCGAAAGGTGCATTCTAGAATCGTACTTTATAGAAAGGCCAATATTGCAACAGTCTAAATCAGCCATTTTATGTTTTCAATTTGCTGTTGAAACCATAAAATTTCCCTTAGGTTATGTGGGTGGAGCAGATTCCTTTCTAATTAAAATCCATTCAATATTTTTGAGAATTTGATTTGTGATTTTCTTAACATTTCATTCCTGCAATTTCTTCTCATAAGAGTTCCTTATCTTAAACTCTGTTCTTCAGTAGCAATTAATTATTCATTAATCCTAATGTCTATTTTTGCAGTATTTTGTAACACTTTGAACTGGATTTCTGAGCCAAGTTGTTGGCTTTATTATTCAACCGCAACTGTACAACTCAGTATCATAACTTCCTAATTATAAAATTTATATTATAATTATTTTTAAATTAGAAAAACTAATCAGTAATTAGCCAAACACCAACTAAAATTACAATTTTAAATTAGCATTACTTGTATTTCTGTTAATCTGTAGCCAGCCTTGTGGTAATTATTTTGAACATACACACTTAAAATTTAAGAAAAATTGTTATGAAGTGTAGAAATGTTTATGATGAAAGTAGAAAAAATAATTAATTTTTCCATGAAATAATTACTATGAAAAAAGTATGCACATGTAGGCTTTAAGAAACTGAGAATACAAGGTTCGCGTATTGTGTCCTTTTATAGTCACAGTAAACAGAAACAACTCTCTCAAAGAGGAGAGTAACAAAACAAGGGGAGACCACTCTTGATTATTTATAACAGTTATATCTTTGAAATAATATTTATATTGTAAAAATAGTTTCTGCATAAAAATAAAGCCATTTTCTTTACAAAATAAAAATATTGTTACTTCAAAGGAACTGTTATACAGAAATTTAGTAATAATTTCATTTTTTTTCCTCTTTTAATGTCAATATCATTTTCTTTTCGGCTTTTGTAACAACCATACAAAAATCAAATTAGATTTTAGCAGTATTTTTCTAACAATATCCTTCCTAAGGAGTGCCAATTTTTTCTGTGTTATGTTTACAAACACATTAACAGAAATCAGATCATTATAATATGGATATAATGATCCATTCAGAGTTTTGTTTTCAAGTTCTACCATTGTACACTGAAATACATTAGTTTCTCATGATAGACAGTAAGATTTAGTGAATTTACAGTTTTGTTTTTATCTATGTGCATAATTTGTTCTCAACTTTTGCTTTTGAATATATTTCATCATTTCCTTGGGATTTCTGAATTACCAGTTATTCCTTAAAGAGTAATGAGCCAGTGTTATTCATAGTCCAGGATTTGAACCCACAAATTTGAGGAGACAAACTGATAAAAATTTCTATCCACTCAGACATGTCTTGAAGGTTATTGAATATCATAGACACATGCAGAAGGCTGAAGCTACAATGGCTGAAGTTAATGATAAATATTATTGTGTTAAAGAAGATACTAGCATAAAATGGTCATTATATTGGGTTATTTCACATATTGTTATTGTTATTCACATATTGTTATTCACATATATATTGGGTTATTTCACATACAATAGTTTGTTACTTATTGCCAGACTCCATGATTTACAAACCATAAAAATGAAATTGAAGGATTGTGGATATAATTTTTATGAGTACCTATCTTTCTTCTTTTTTTGTACCATGCATGATACATGCTTAGGTGATCATCATATGTCTTTTGATACATGACTGACATGGTAGATTTTTTTCCCGCAGTAGGTTGCCATTTCTTTCTGTAGTAGACCAATTGCCATCCAAGGTTACAGAACCCAGTCTGTCCTGCTATTTACCCATAGCTGGTGGTAGGGAAAGATGAGGATTCATACCTTTCCCAAGGTTATTAGCATGTAAGTGAATGTAATGGATTCGACTGGAATTCGAACTTAGCTCTCTGATTCTTCAATCTGAGCCGCTATCCAATACTCCACCATGCCTCCTACCCATAACATTCATTTAATGCCTCTATTTTCAAATATCATCTGAGTTAATATTCAACAATCAGTGGATTATTATTAGACCTTTTGAAAATTTTCTTGACTAAAGGTAAAGAAATTTATTTTTTAAAATAGGTTATTTTTATCGGATACTGGTTAGGAAAGTGTTAAACTATCAAATGAAGTATGTTTTCTTTAAAATTATGTTTAAAAATAACATTTTTTTCTTATTCATCAACCACAACTATACATCTTGTGGGTGTCTCATCATGATGTTGTGGCTAGCAAGTTAGTCTGACAAACCATTACAACTGTAATGAGAGTTCTTGATTGATTCATTCATTTTTTATGGCTTATCAACCCATTACAGATTATTTAAAGCTAGAAAATATTTTTAGATTATAAGAATATTTTTTGAGATAATATTGATTTAGTGATACAAGTTTTAGCTCATAGCAGGAGAAATAAGATGTTTCTCCATAACTTTCCAAGGGATATTTGCATGTAAGTGAATATAATGAACCCAACTGGAATTGGAACACTGTTCTCCGATTAACAATTCCAAATTATTATCCATTATATCACCCATACATCCAAGCTTACAGCAACTGATATACACAAAGGGTTACCCATCTAAGTACTGGGTTTGACATTGCTTAACTGAAGATTATATGGGAACTAGTGTTTCTACATGATATGAATGTAAGCCCAAACAGAGTTCAGTCCTAACTAGATGACGTATACTAAAAATCCATGATATCACCCATACATTCAAGCTTATAGCAACTGATATTCCCAAAGGGTTACCCATCTAAGAACTAGGTTTGACATTGCTTAACTGAAGATTATATGGGAACTAGTGTTTCTACATGATATGGATTTAAGCCCAAACACAGTTCAGTCCTAACTAGGTGACGTATACTAAAAATCTATGATATCACCCATACATTCAAGCTTATAGCAACTGATATTCCCAAAGGGTTACCCATCTAAGTACTGGGTTTGACATTGCTTAACTGAAGATCATATGGGAACTAGTGTTTCTACATGATATGGATTTAAGCCCAAACAGAGTTCAGTCCTAACTAGGTGACGTATACTAAAAATCCATGATATCACCCATACATTCAAGCTTATAGCAACTGATATTCCCAAAGGGTTACCCATCTAAGTACTAGGTTTGACATTGCTTAACTGAAGATCATATGGGAACTAGTGTTTCTACATGATATGGATTTAAGCCCAAACAGAGTTCAGTCCTAACTAGGTGACCTATACTAAAAATCCATGATATCACCCATACATTCAAGCTTATAGCAACTGATATTCCCAAAGGGTTACCCATCTAAGTACTAGGTTTGACATTGCTTAACTGAAGATCATATGGGAACTAGTGTTTCTACATGATATGGATTTAAGCCCAAACAGAGTTCAGTCCTAACTAGGTGACATATACTAAAAATCCATGATATCACCCATACATTCAAGCTTATAGCAACTGATATTCCCAAAGGGTTACCCATCTAAGTACAAGGTTTGACATTGCTTAACTGAAGATCATATGGAAACTAGTGTTTCTACATGATATGGATTTAAGCCCAAACACAGTTCAGTCCTAACTAGGTGACCTATACTAAAAATCCATGATATCACCCATACATTCAAGCTTATAGCAACTGATATTCCCAAAGGGTTACCCATCTAAGTACTAGGTTTGACATTGCTTAACTGAAGATCATATGGGAACTAGTGTTTCTACATGATATGGATTTAAGCCCAAACAGAGTTCAGTCCTAACTAGGTGACATATACTAAAAATCCATGATATCACCCATACATTCAAGCTTATAGCAACTGATATTCCCAAAGGGTTACCCATCTAAGTACTAGGTTTGACATTGCTTAACTGAAGATCATATGGGAACTAGTGTTTCTACATGATATGGATTTAAGCCCAAACAGAGTTCAGTCCTAACTAGGTGACATATACTAAAAATCCATGATATCACCCATACATTCAAGCTTATAGCAACTGATATTCCCAAAGGGTTACCCATCTAAGTACTAGGTTTGACATTGCTTAACTGAAGATCATATGGGAACTAGTGTTTCTACATGATATGGATTTAAGCCCAAACAGAGTTCAGTCCTAACTAGGTGACATATACTAAAAATCCATGATATCACCCATACATTCAAGCTTATAGCAACTGATATTCCCAAAGGCTTACCCATCTAAGTACTAGGTTTGACATTGCTTAACTGAAGATCATATTGGAACTAGTGTTTCTACATGATATGGATTTAAGCCCAAATATTCAGTTCTAACTAGGTGATCTATACTGAAAAACTTAAGCTATTTCAAGCTAAACTTAATAAATATTTTTGACTGTTCCCCAGGGAGTAGTGATTAGCAAAATCTTGCTACTGTAGTAAATTTGATTCTCACCAGGTGCCCTAAAACTGTGACTTTGTGCGAGGCTGAAAAAGTTTAGTAAATAATTTAAAAGATTTTAATGTTAACACATAATGTTGGCAATTTCTGTCTTTAGAACTAAAATGACAGAAATTCCTGTCAATTGCAGTTAATTATTTTATGAAGACCCAAATATCTACTCAGTCAGTCATTTCTTCAATTCAAATCCTCCACTGTATATAAAGTGAATTCAAAGTTTTTCCTTTTCTTCTTCAGTGGATTGTTTCTAAATTGTTGCTGCCCCAGCAGAAAATGTTTGAATTCCTGCCATTTATATCTGACCAACTTTCAAATAAAAACTGGTTAATATTCTTTCTTCTATTGTATTTTCAGTTGTCCTGTATATTACAATCTACCACCGCAATGTAAATTAGTTAATATTGGTAACAACTGCTGCAAAGAACCAGTCTGTAATTTTCATGGAAAAACAACTCGGACAACTGGACACAAAAAGGGAGAACATTTTGGTGTTGGTAAGTTCTAACTTGATATTAATTTTTTAAAGAGTCATCTACAAATCAGTAAACTAATTTTTTTAACACTATTTACATTATTCAGACTATTGTCCTCATCTTTGTCACCATAATTATTACAACATTTCGGCCGTTGTACACTCTGGCCTTCTTCAGTTGGGTGGAATGTCAAACAGAACCATTTATTTTGCTCACTGGAGTAAACTGTTCTAGTTCCATGTGCCATGTTTAATGGATGTCAGTTATTAGTTATCTCCTGTTAATTCCCCTCTTCAAGTTATCCACTGTCTTAACCAGGACACATGGCACAGTGGTTAAAGGTGTTGGTTAGATCCAGTGACAGGATGCAAAGAGCGTGAGTTCAATACCTGGTTAAGGCGGGGGAGAACTTGGAGAGGGGAATTAACAGGAGATAACTGATAACTGACATGCATTAGATATGGTATGTTGAACTAGAACAGTCTACCCCAGTGAACGAAATAAAGGTTTCTGTTTGACATTCCAACCAACTGAAGAAGGCCAGAGTTTCAACTGCTGAAACATTGTAATAAATATGCTGACAAAGATGAGGACAATAGTTTGAATAATGTAAATAGTGTACATAATATCTCATTTCAGAAATATAGAAAGATACTAATTTTTTTAAACTGAAAAAAAATAAAGAAATTAAACTGGTGTAAAGTTCACATTTACAAGTATATTTAAATGTTTAAATGAAGATATATTTAATATTTAGTAATTTAATAACATAATCCTTGTTGACTGTAAAAATATTGACTATAGCATTGAGAAGAGTGATTAATTAAACACTGATATATTCTGATTGTTTTCATAATTTTGGTTGTTTATATATTCACAAAATTTTTGCTGCTGCATTTTCTGTTCTTTAAATGCTTGTTGTATTTGGCGCTTGTGCTTCTGTTTGTTCTGATAATACCAATCGGCTGTCTCTGTTAGGTAATATCTCATAATGGTTAATTTTTCTGCTATTTCATCTTTTTAATCAATTTTCCTTGTGGTACATTGTCTGTGCCTCTTAATGGATACCACTATCTGACCCAAAGATTGAAATTATAACTACCATGTAAACTGCAATGTTTAATCAATGTATATAGCGAAGAAAACAGTGACTTACCTCATCAAACCAAACGACAGTGCATCGCGTGTATTCTACGACAGAAAATGTGGCGAAAAAGAAAATTACTTACCAAACAAAATGGCACGTATTCCGCATGACATGCTGAAAATGGAATATTTGAATTAAAAAAACAAGTCTGTTACAGGAGTCGCTATAAAAGTATGTTGATATGCAAATTACTGAACATCCTCTCCCAGCTGTCGACGAATGGAAAAAAAATGTTCGGCCGATAAAAGCAGTTGGTGTTCTCGAATCGCGGGGAAAAAGTCAGCGATTTTGGCTGCCACGTTGGTTGGCGAGGGTGTTATTTTTCTGACTGGTTGTGTGCATTGTGATTTGTGAAATTGTACTTGCGAATCAAGTTTTCGGCATTTTCTTTCTGTCCCCGATGTTCGAGTCTGAATTTATTAATGATTTATTCTCGGCGACGTGGAAACAATCTGCGACAAACACTTCCTTTGCAATCCCAGATTGCTTACACAATGCTTATATCTACTCCATCAATTGTCCTGACAGACACCAAGATTGGAGCAAACAACATGAAAAATTCTTGATTAAAAAAAAAACTCATCAAAATGAGAGCAATAAACTGAATATCTAATCTTAACTCCTTCTTCCTAATGTAGATAACACAGCATTTCGGCAAAGCCATTCTTCAGGGGTTTTCATGTCTGTGACAGGTTGTATATGGTTTTGTTCCTGTTATACCCAGTGGCTTGGTCTTATAATATTGCAGCAGCAAGTTGTAGTAGTCATAGTGTTACGGAAAGGTTGAGTTTACTTACATGTGACTGATAATCATATGGGTCTCTCTCAGCAGTTGCTGAGGATCACTGTTATAACGTAAATTAAGAGTTTAGAAAGAACAAACTCACATCAGTAACAAACACATGATTGAAGACATATTTATTTCAGGTTTCTATACAGATTCAAGATTAAGTTAGTTTTATTTACTACCTGAAAGATGGTATGAAACCTTAGAAAATCATATATATATATATATATATATATATATATATATATATATATAATAGAATGAAAAACTTCCAAGTGCTGATGAAAAGATTTTGTCTGTCCTCACTTCCTAAAATCTGACCAAATAACAAACATCAAAATATTTTTAATCTCTTCTTGGTCAGGCTGAGAATTTTTCAGCATCCACAGGTAGAAGTTTTTTTTTTTTACTTTAATTAATCTACATTTAATATTTTAGATTTAAAAGGTTGAAAATGCTTTATGATAAAGAAACATGAAAAGTAAGAATGGCAGATTGTAGTTTGTTGATTAATGTTTCAGATGTGTGCATCTATAATGGCCAAAAATACTACCAAGGGCAAAGCTGGTTAGTTGGATGCGAAGCAGAATGTGTTTGTCAGGATGCCAAGTCTGGATTTTGGATTTGTACCTCCAGGTAATTTATATCAGTGATTGGATAAACCTTGAATTGCAAATTGTTTCTGTCACTTTTAATTACAAAAAGGAATAAATCTCTTTAAGGACAGTATCAGCACACACACACACACACACACACACACACACACACACACACACACAAAACACACACACAAAGACATATATATATATATATATATATATATATATATATATATCAAATATGTGGTGCAGTTCAATTTATATTACAATGAATCATTCATACAAAAAGTAGATTAGTAAAGTTAATGATATAAAATGGTGAAATCCCTTCGTTTTCCATCCATATGCAGATGGTTTGCTGCTAGTATAGGTTCTTGATTATTCTAATATCCTTCCTAAATATGTCAAGGTTGCTGAGCATTTCCAAAAAATTGTTGTGGCATACTTTACTGAATGTCTTTTTGTAATCTATAAAACACAAGTACATGTTGTTCTGCATTTGTATTGCTCTTTCTGATAACATTCTGAGCATAAATATTGCATTTCTTGTTTCAGTGTCTGCACTGTTCTCAAATATTATGTGTTGTTCATGTACTAAGTCTTATCATTCACTAGCTGCATGGCCCAGCGTTGATTCAAAAATCGTACGACTCATACAGCAATCGCTATCACTTGACTTAAAAATTTTTTGCCCTTCCTCACCTTTATGCCGTGCTGATGTTGCTACACGCCTTACTTCTTGCCTATCTCACACTGCAAATTTTTCTAAGCTCTATACTAAACATTAAATCTGTTAGTAAAAAAGAACTAAACAAAATGAAGACAAAACGATCACCTTTAAAAAAGGACTCGTAACTGGAAAAAACAAATGAAAAAGAATGTTAACAACAAATACTTTTTCACACCCAACCCAGTTCTGCGGAATCAGAATCAATGTTGAGTTTAAGCAAGTGAATGAGCCAATTGAAGTAAAGTGCCATGCAGATTTAAATTTTTCCCACTTGTGACGAATGCAGCTATCGATTTTTTGGCATGCTAGTTAACATTCGTGTCAGTCAGCTGTTGGCTCTCACACTGGCCAATAGAATCTTCCTGCCTTTTCGTGGCAGCCAACTATTGGCTCTCACTTCTGCCAGTACAAAATGGCCGCAAACTACATGAAAACTGCCATAGAAGCATGAAAAAATCGATTATTTCCACTATCGATGGGAGTTGGGAAATGCAAAGTCGGTCTTGGCCTTCCAGCTAACTTGGAGCATGTGCATGTAAATTTTGGTGCAAATCCATCAAAATTTGCGGCCGTGCATTCGTTACACACACACATCCTACCTTTTATAGATAGAGATTAGCAACCTTTGTGTGATTATTCTATTCAGTAACCTTCCTTAAGTTACAACAACTTCAGTGTTCACTTTTATATTTACATATACTCTATTTCTGATATTGAGCACTTTATCCCATAAATATAGTATACCTTAAAAATATATTTCTTCATATACATATATGTGTCTGTGATTTGTAGAAATTATGATCCATAATATTCTGTAGCATTGGATAACTTAAATGGGGAAAAGAAAGTGACTTCAAAGACACTTTCTGTCATCTGATAAAATCCCACTTGGGCCTTGAAGAAAGATGTTTTCAATTTGATTTTTACAATGTTCACAAAAGAGTAGGGTTATCCAAATAACATGTGAACTTTAATCTCAATTATTTCTTATACAGATGCCCTCATCATGACAACATTCCATCCAACTGTCACTTAATTACCAAAGCTGGTCAGTGTTGCAAAGAGGTAAAATGTGAATTCACAATTGATTTTGGAAGATTTAAAGGTCATGGAAAAGTGGTTGATAGAGGTATATATATATATATATTTTTGTATTTTTTTTATTAATGACAATTGCTTAATTCTTTAGAAGTAAAACAGAAAACTAAACCTATAAGTTAAGAAATATTTAGCAAAATCAAAAAAGAACAGAAATGTAGAATTTTAAAATGGTTCATGTCAGATAAGAGAGTGCAATTTTTTAGTAATATGTCAATTATGATGTAGTCATCCATCTTGAATTTATTATAAGATAAAATATTGTTAATAGTCTTTTAAATACTCACCACTGTATGATGAAAGATGTTATTAAAATCAGTCATGCAATATGGACAATAAAGCATATTTGTGCTTTAAACACAAGAGCAACAACAGTGAATAAATAATAGAGAAGAAATTTGTTAAAGTCAATCTTCATCAAAGTAGAAGAGATTAAGCAAACAAATAGAATGCATCATGTTCCATTACATACAAACATGTTATGTATATTGAAAAGAAATCTAAGCAGGTGATTTTGCTTTTACTACCATGAAGGAATAAAGCACAACATTCATTTGTACCAATCTACTGACTAGAAATGGAAAGCCTCCTTTTCCTCATTTCATTATGACAAGAGATGAGAAATATTTATTATATGTTAATATTATGATATTATTTACTGTATCTTAACTATGTAAGCAAAAAGCAATAGACAATACCATATTTCAATTTTATTTCAATTTTATGTCAGCACTGAAGCCACACTCATCCATAGAATATTTTGCTATGCATTGTTGAAATATGACAGCTTTAATTCTCTTTAAATAACTGGATCTTGGAAAAATCATCATTGCTGACCTTCATTATTGAAATGTGTCTCTTTGATAAAGAAAAGAATATATCAACTTCCGATATAATAATGTAAGGCTTAGTGAGTAAAATAATCTCTAGAGAAAATAATCATTAAGCCAAGATGTTTACAGGTGTCCTTCAGACCGAGAATCTTAGGTAAATGTAAGATGTAATGTTTGGATGGTGCAGTTTTGCATCAATCCTTAGAACATTCCCTTAGTGCCAGGACATTTAGAATTAAAGATATGAATTCAGATCTGAGCTTTCATTTATGTTTAGCTATCATGATTAAAATATGATTTTATGAAATGTATCATATAAATATAATAACTAAAAACTGTAGTTAAAGCAATAATAACAATAATGCAATTTATTTGCATTATTATTTTTATTATTGCTTTAACTACAGTTTTTAGTTATATTTATTCTGTGGATGAGAGTGTGGCTTCAGTGCTGAAATAAAATTGAAATACGGTGTTGTCTATTGCTCTTTGCTTACATAGTTAAGATACAGTAAATAATATCATAATATTAACATACTTCATTCCTTGATGATAGTAAAAGCAAAATCACCTGCTTAGATTTCTTTTCAATATACGTAACATGTTTGTATGTAATGGAACATGATGCATTCTATTTGTTTGCTTAATCTCTTCTACTTTGATGAAGATTGACTTTAACAAATTTCTTCTCTATTATTTATTCACTGTTGTTGCTCTTGTGTTTAAAGCACAAATATGCTTTATTGTCCCTGTTGCATGACTGATTTTAATAACATCTTTCATCATACAGTGGTTAGTATTTGAAAGATTATTGAAAATATTTTATCTTATAATAAATTCAAGATGGATGACTACATCATAATGACTTAGCAAATAAAAGCCCTTTTCAATTTTTCAATACAGTGAGTCACTACCTATTTGTGTTTCAGCATTCACAGATTAACACATTCGCAGATTTTCCTTTAGAACATATGAACTTGTTATTTACAGAAACCCCAAATATTCACATATTTTTCTGAAGAACATATGTACAAATTATTCGCTGAGAACTCCCTCTGTTCACATATTTTTTTGATAGAAAATATTCAAAATATTTTTGTATCATTTTCCTGTTATTTAAGTGACTTAAAACACATAACAGTCCATTTTTATGGTAAAAATTGGCAGAATTATACATCTTCATTGTAAAAAACGAACACAAAAACATGTGTAGTTCTTAGGCTTTGTTCTTTGTTAGGGGCTGCGGCTGGGGTCTTAAAAGTGGCTTATACTAAGTCTGGGGGAATCATCCCAGTTCTGTTTTTAGAAAATGTTTTAAACCTTCTATTTTATGTCTTGTAAGACATATTTCATTCAGTATTTTTAATGGTTGTATTGATCTATGCATAATTAAAAATGGTTATTGTAAATATGAAAGAAAATTTATGCTAAGTGTATAATCACCAATACTGTTTTTCAAAAATGTATTAAAAAGGGTCTGAAATGTTTCTAAAGTGTTTAGGATTAAAGATTAAGGCATATGGGGTTTTAACAACCAAAATAAATACTTCTAAGCACTTTTTAGGAGAGTACAAGTATTTGTGGATTCTAACTATTCATGGCTAGTTTTGGTCCCTAACCCCTGTGAATATGGGGGACTCACTGTACCTTCATTTTGTAATATTTTATCAAATTAAATGTTTTTTTCATTTACTATTTTAGCTACTCCTGTTACAAGTCTTCCTTGTGTTGATCAACGACCATGTGAAGAGCTGTCCCCAAGTATTTGTCATGCAAAAGATTTAGAATTTTGGGTGGTTGATCATTGTCCTCGCTTCTGCAACAAATGTCGTGAGTATTTTCCCTCACTTTTGTTTTAAATATTTTCATTTGAGAATCTTAGTTTTTATCTGATACTGTAATTTTTCCTTACTTGAAATTTGTTTGAATCAGGATAAATATTTCCTTATAATGGGAATTCCATAAGTAAGTTTTTTTTTTGGGGGGGGTGTATATGAACTGCATTTTGCAAACAAATCTTTCAAGTCAAAAGTTATTCTGCCTTTTCTTTGGCATTGTAGTGAAACCGCAAAGAGGTTAGTGAACTTATTAAAGACTTTATTCACCTAATAAAGAATACAGAAAGTAAAAAGAAATATATTAAAGTGGAACAGTTCATCCAAGATGGAATAGGGAGTTTAAATAGTTCATTTCCCCTCCTTTATTTTATAAACATATATTTTTATTTTTTATGTTTCATAGCCCATATATTGGAGAGGCTTTCAATGCTCTTGAGTAGACTGCCACACCAGTCTATGGGTAGAATAGTTGTTGTCCAGCTAGTTGCATTGTCAAGGTTAGCAAGGTATTCTTTCATCTCTCTGGATTGAAATGAGAGTTCATAGTCTGAATGGATGTAAGATGGAGTCCCAAACACTGTGAAAATCTGGATCAGACATTTCATAACCAAGCCAGTGGTCAAATCCAGACAAGCAAAAGCGAATGGGAAAAAGAAGTATTCACCCACGATAGTCAGCAGATAACTGTTTCTAGAAGAGAAAGGAAGTGGCCCTTTGAAGTCTATGCTAAGTCTCTCCACAGGTTGAGTAGCTTTAACGTGGGTGGTAGATCCTGGAGAGTAATACCTCGGCTTCAAGTAAGCACACTCAGGGTATTCTCGACATACTTTTCATATTTCTTCAATGGAGTACGGCAAATTTATTATTTTGATGAAATGACAAACCTTTTTGCACCAGGGTGACAAAAGTGAACATGTAGCTTCTGCAATTTTTGTCACCAGTAGTAGGTCCACAGTGAGCATGAGAGAGTACGTCGACAAGAAAGTTGTTTTTGCCAGGTCAGTATATAATGTCTTAATCATAACACTCTGTTGAGGGAGACAAAAGTTATCTCCCTTTGACTAACCCTTTAAAAAAACTAAAAATAGATATATAGATAGTCATGTGAACTGCCTGAGGGATCGTTAGGCGTGAAAGTCAAACATCCTCTTTGGTTCTTGGCAGTCAAACCAGAAAAACATACTTATTCAGGCTCGTGACAATCAACTTAAGACAAGTACTAAAGATCACCTTTTTTTTTTAGATGTCAAATCTCTTATAAAAAACACATACACTACTTGTATGAACATTTCAGATATAAATATATATATATATATATATTCAATTGCTGTTATATGAAAACTTATGTGGTCATTTTTAATTTTTTTATGTGTTTATGTTGTATTGCTATTCGCTTTGTTAATTAATCCGATAGCACATTTCTTTTCTTGCACAACAACTCCAATTTTATTCACCACCCTTCGATTTTGTCATTCTTTATTTTACCAAGTGCTCTTGAATCAAAAAATATAGTTTACAGCTTACTGGTCAGTAAGGATAGCAAAACATGTCCCAGTTAAAAGGTGAGACCATTTTCTCACTGTTTCTATGACAGCGGAGTTCTTACATTCAGTATCAGAGAGTGTCATCAAAAAGAAGGCAACCAGTCAATGGTTCAATGCTGCAGCTGCAGCAGTATCGAAGGCATCAGATTCGATGATTATGGGAAGGTTCTCATCAATAGAATGTAATATGGCCTTTTCAATCTCTTCTTTAAGGGCATTGAACACTTTCTCAGAAATAGAGTTGAGAGAGAATGAAGTCAGTCAGTTATGTGACATGTGTGATACATGCATAGGTGACAAGGCAGATTTTTCCCCACAGTAGGTTGCCATTTCTTTCTGTGGTAGACCAGTTGCTATCCAAGGCTATAGAACCTGGTCTTTACCCATAGCTGAGAGGAGAAGAGGATTCATACATTTCCCAAAGGTATTAGCACAAAATAGAATGGATTCAACTGGAATTAAGTCATTGTTATTAAGGGTTTAATCCATTTGGAGAATTTCAGTACCACTTGGGAATAAGAATTAATGCTGCCTTATCTTGACTCTTAAAGAGATGTAATCATTCTGGGTTGAGGCTAATTGATCTATGGCTGATCAGATAGCTGAGCAGGGTGACAATGTTTGCTGCCAAAGTGCTTTTTTTCTTCTTCAGGGTTAGATGGTACTTTCAAACAACCTTCATGTATTTATTTAAATTGATATCATGCTCCTTCCTCATTTTCCCACAGATTATTACTTTATCTATTTAAGCAAAGATGGTAGAAAATCCTTCAGAAGAGATAAAGTTTATAATTCTCTGAAAGCAAGTCACTCCATTGGTAATGCCAGAAGGTATTCAGCAGAATTGATATAGGTGACCATCAGCTTCAAAAGCAAATATACTTTTTCTCAGTGTCTTTAATCATTACCTGGTGGTACATACACTTCAAGTTCATGGTACTGAAGTAGCAATACTTTGCCACTTTGTATGCCATATCATCTCTTCAAGGAAGCAATAATGTGTCTAATAATGTTTACCAATTTATTGTTTCTGAGTAGTCTACCACCATCCTTCATTTATAAGAGTTTCTTGATTCTATGACTCCTTCTTGTAATAATCTCTTTGTTTCTGAAGTAATGAAGATTTTATTGGTATCTGAAAAGCACCATGATTATGGGCTTACAGTTGGACAAAAAGTTGGTTAACAAGGAATGTAGTTAAATACCTATGGCAACAAGACCACAAAAAGTCAATTCAGGTAAGGGTCCTCCTCAAATGAGATGGAAATGGAAGAGTGTTATCATAAGAAATCATGGTTCAATAATATATTACATGTTATATAAGATGGCCAGTTTCACATTAGGATAAGTTTTGTTACCCACCATAGGTTGACTGAGCAAGTATCTTTAATTTTAGAAGAGGGTGATGAAGAAGCCATGCTAACAATTCCAGACATAGGAGAGATGGAGAGTTCAAGTTGTTGTACAACATGGTGATTTATGAAGTTTTCAGCATACTCTGTGTCTATCAAGGTATTGACTGTAATATTATTAATCCTAGCATTCATAATGACCTGTGATAAATGTGTGGCCCCAGTAATCAAAGCCATTTTTAGGGTTAACTAGATTTATATGCTGTAGCATAGTGGCCCTTTTTACTGCATCTATTACAGATAGCATTCCTCATAGGACTCTTAGCTCTGGGGTGATATTTGAGTTCACAGAAGTAACCTGGTCAGATGCAGTGTTTAAATCTAGTGACATATTCTCAAGGAGTCATTTGTTTATTAGTAGGCAGTATCCCATTTAGGAAGGTGTCCCAGATCTACATATCACAGTTAATCTCTGCTGTCACAGGTTTAAATCAGCAGTCTTTGCTAATCAGACAGAGAGCTTGTAAATACTGTTCCAGACTGTCACCAGTTTTCTGGTTCCTAGTCATAAGGATATAGAGGGTAAAAACTTTGCTCTTCAGCTTGACATAAATTTTCTCAAGCTTGGCCATAGCATCTTCATATATAAGAAGGTCAGCAACACACATATGTACTGAAGGTTCTATGTAATTGATTAGCAATATCAGTTTCATCGAGTCATCTAAGCTTTTGTCTGGTACAGATGAAAGGAAATTTGCAAGGGTTTTCCTCCAGAATAGCCATTCTTTACTGGATGTACTACTTACTAGCAGAATCAGTAGAGAAATATTGTGGCTTCAGCAGTCTTTCTACAACAGTAATTTTTCTTTTCTTAAAAAATTCTGGTTAGGTGAATAAATTGTAGTAAAACCACAAGAGGCTAGTGACCTTATTAAAGGTTTTATTCACCTAACAAAGAATAAGTAAAAACAAATACATTAAAGTGGAATATTCCATCCAAGACAGAATAGACAGTTTAAATAGTTCAGACATCTTGCTTTTTAATTTAGGTCTTTTTTTTTTAACTCTAGCTTCTGGAGTTTGGCCTATAATTTTAGTCTTCATTCTTCTTATTGAGGTTTTAATGTCTTGCAATTTGGTTTGTTCTTTGGAGTTTTGATGTGTCTTCTGGAATTGTGCTTTTACTTGGAGTCTTTCTTTGACACTTTGTATTTTGCTTATCTTTCAAGTATTACTTTTCTTTCGATACTTGTTCTTTTGGTTTTTTTTAACTTGACTTCTATTTGGAATCATGATTTGTCTTTTGGAATCTTCTTTCGTGATAGAATCAAGTTTGTCTTTGAAGATTTGCTTCATCTTTTGTAGACTAGCTGCTTTTTGTAATCTTATTTCTGTTTGTCATTTGAGTTTGGATTTTTTTTTGCTTTGTCTTTTTGACTTTTATTTGATTTTCTTTTATAGTCCAGCTTCTTGTTAAAGTCTTCCTGGTCTTTGGAATTTTGGTTGCAATTTTCAAGAATTGATTTGTCTTTGAAGAAATAGTTTGAGTGTTGGAAACTTTCATGTCATTTGAGTTTTGATTTGTATTTTGGTGCCTTTTGTTTGGACATTTCTGTTGAATTTTTGCTTGTGTTTGGAGTCCTGTTTGTTTTTTTAAGTCTGTCCTCTGATTGAAAGTCTTGTTTTTTTTGGTATCTTGCTTGTATATGGCAACTTTGTTAGTCTTTGTTTTTTGACCTTGCTTATTTTTTAATCAAAATGTTTCATTTTAAACTTTGCTTCACTTTGGGGTATTTTTTGTATTTTGGTTTTTGTTTGTCTTTGTAAATCAATTTCTTGTCTTTGGAGTCAGATTATCATTTGGAGTTCTTGTCATTTTCACTCTTTATTTTTCTTTTGGAGTTATTAGTACCAAAACATATGAAATTTACTATTTTTCATGATACTATGATTTTCAATGTAATATCAACATGAATTATTAATGTACAATGTGCGATAGGAAAATGGTGGTAATTGAAAAGAATGTTTTACAACCATTCCTATGTATGACATTGGAAATTAAAATAAAAACAAATACATAGGTTTGTAAACTTAAGAAAAATGTATTTATATATGCAAATTACTTTTGTTTCCATGGTCAATGTTCGGTTTATGTTACATGGTTGAAGACTGATGATGTATTGATAGTTATATAAGGTTTCATTAAAAGAATGTCATTCACTTAAATAAAACAAAATTATTATTAGCTACTATGAAAAGATGACTGCCATATCAGTATAGTCCCTGAATATAGAGAAATGTCTTCCATAACAGGCACCTTCTCTCGTCACAAAAAAAAAGTACACTTTTTATAAAGGTCAAATTTCACCTTGCTATTGGAGTATAGACCAATTAGTTAAAAATATCACTGGCATATTTTCATTGTCTAATAGAATGTTTAGCTTCTAACTGGACAATTCTGCTTATAGTTGTAATCTCAAACCTTCAGAAATTTTGATATCTCTCACACTAACATAACTGTATCTGTCTATATTTCTGAGATGAGGTATTATGTACACTATTTACATTATTCAGACTATTGTCCTCATCTTTGTTGCCATATTTATTACAACATTTCGGCCCTTCAGTATCTGTCTATATTTCTGAGATGAGGTATTATGTACACTATTTACATTATTCAAACTTTTTCACTGATCCCTGGATTTTGGATTTTGCTTTTCAAGTATATAAGTGCTCATCATAAGTTAAGATTTTCATTATTTACATTATTTGGGCTATTGTTCTCATCTTTGTTGCTATATTTATTACAACGTTTCAGCCGTTGTACGCTTCTTCAGGTGCTTAGAATGTCAAACTGAACCCTTTATTTCACTCACTGGGGTAGACTGTTCTAGTTCCATGTGCCATATTTAATGGATATCATTTATCAATTATCTCCTGTTACTTCCCCTCTCTAAGTTCTCCACTGCCTTAACTAGGTCACTCACACTCTTTGGGTCCTGTCACTGGATGCAACTAACACCTTTATCCACTGTGCTATAACTGACAACTGACATCCATAAAACATGGCACATGGAACTAGAACAGTCTACCCCAGTGAGTGAAATAAAGGGTTTAGTTCAACATTCCAACCACCTGAAGAAGGCCGGAGTGTACAATGGCCGAAACGTTGTAATAAATATGGCGACAAAGATGAGGACAATAGTCCGAATAATGTAAATAATGTACATAATACCTCATCTCAGAAATATAGACAGATAATGAAGGGCCGAAACGTTGTAATAAATATGGCGACAAAGATGAGGACAATAGTCCGAATAATGTAAATAATACCTCATCTCAGAAATATTGACAAATACTGAAAGGCCGAAACGTTGTAATAAATATGGCGACAAAGATGAGGACAATAGTCCGAATAATGTAAATAATGTATAATGTGTAATTCACTATATATCTCTATAAATCAGACTCTTCTGGCAATAACTTAGCATTAGATACAGAAAAATATAAAGGAATATAAATTGCATTTTATATATGTAAATTCTTTCAGACTAACTTCCGTGTTTTTGAGAAGATAAAGACAAAAAAGATAAGAAAACATGTCTGAAAAAATCATTTGTATAACAGTAACAACATATCTCAAAATTCTATTCATCAGATTATAAATTAAAAAAAAATGTATTTCTATTATTATTATTAAAGATTTTCTCTTTATTCTTTTTTCTTTTTCAGCAACTCCAAGTGTTCCTTCTGAAGGTATGGAAATTCTTGAAATTATATTTCACATATCATTTTCAAACTACTGCAGAAATATGTGTTTTAGAGAAAAGTTGAATTTTCTGATGAATTAGGATTTTAACTTGGGGCTACCCAAAATTAACTTAAGCTTGGCGGCCCTTTGTTAAAAAGTAAAGAAGAATTTTTGAAAAAGTGTCAAAGGCTGAAATTCCTGAGTGACCCAGGAAGTTTTTTTTTTTGTAATGTTTCCTAATAAAGGATGCAAATTTTATATGAGAAACTTTAATATTAATCTGAATTTCTGGGATGGGGAGTTATTATTTACACTATTTATATTCGGACTATTGTCCTCATCATTGTTGTTTTTATTACAACATTTCAGCCATTGTTCCCTCTGGCTTTCCTCATGTAAATATAAATCTGGGTAACCTATAGGAAATCCCTATATCTAGGAATATCATCTAGTTCATATTTTATTTAACACTGTTCGGTTATTGCTTGATCATTTCTACTGAATACAAGTACACATTGCCTGATCAAGGGATTGAAATCACAACCAGTATGCCACCAAATTGCCTGATCAAGGGATTGAAATCACAACCAGTATGCCACCAAATTCCCAAACCAATGCTTTTACCCACTGTTGTCTCATCAGAGTAAACTTAGAGCTTTAAACCTAACCTTCACTGCTGATTAGGCTGCCACTACTGCTGCCTATGTTTTTAATTACTGTTGCTGCTGCTGCAGTTGAAAACCTGCTGTCATTTTTATTTCTTTATTAACAGCTCTCAAATAGTATTTATTTCTATGCTAGGCCTTTTCATAGCCTAGAATATGCACTGGTTCTTTCTCCAGTGTTCTTCCCTCTCCAGTATTTTCACTTCATTCCACATTCCACCCATTTAAAACCTAACACAGGACAGAATATGACCAAGAATTGCATGTAATTGATTCCTTGCAGTTGTAGCAGGGAATATAAAGGTGAAGCAAGCTGTCATCTAAAGTAAGGCACAACAAAAAGCAATAGTGTGAAGTAAAATGATGAAATTGGGCATAGCTGATCATGTGTGGATAGAAAGAGATGGTAATCAATGTTGATTTTGATAATAAGTGTTTGATAATGGTTTTGTCATGTCACCAGTAAAAGTTTAAAATCACAGCAATAAAAACAAACATAATAAAAAAGTCAATAAAAGAAAAAACATAACTACAGTAGTTAGTATGATATTAAAGGATGAAAAAGAAAAGAAAAAAAGAGAGTAAAAAAACCTTAATGAGCTAACTAGTTATTGCATCATACTTGTCAGGGTTTGATTGAAGTAAATAAATAAAATTACTATGCTCACTGACTAAAAAAACAAACAAGAAAATATACATGTTTCAATAATATATTGAGACAAGAGTATTTCTTCATGAACAGATCACATTAAGTCCCTACAACTAATCCTGGTTACATAGGAAAGGTTGTTTTGATTTAATCAAAATAGTTTCCTGAACTTTTAGATGGTAGCTAGAATATGGTCTTCACAAAACATGTCCTTATGGAAGGATATTGACCACACTTGATTTTCTAAAAGATGTTCTGCAATTGCAGACCTAGATGTGTTGGTAAACTTATGCAAATCACCTATTGACACTTCTTAATAAATAACAGGACATGCTGAATAATTCTCTTTTCTAAAACATGGATGATCCTGTCTATATACTAAGCTTCATACTGATATTTAAATTCATATAGCACAGAGATAGTTTTAAATATAGGTCAATGAGTAACCCTTTAGGTCTTTCAATGGTTAACATATTCATAAGGTTTTCTGTGCAAAGATTGTTTGCTAATGTCACTCAATCTAACTGCTATGTACATTACATTAATGAAACCTTTTGAGTGTTTAATAGCAAACTGGAGGCAGAGGCATTTCATGACATTTTGAATGATTTGCATCAAGTACTCCATTTTAACTGTGAAAAGTAGAGTAATATTTCTTTACCATTATTGGATGTATGGTCCAAAGACAAAATTCTAACTTGGTTACATCTGTGTACCAAAAATGCATGTTTACAAGATTATATACTTGCTGGGATTCATTTTGTCTTAGACACTATAAAATTAATCTTATAAAGACCTTAGTCCATCAGAAGACAACTTACCTTATGTGGCAAAACGAGCACGTATATGCCTGGCATGCAAAACAAGTAAAGGTAAGGAAAGCAAAAAGAAATATGGCCACCATGACACCTTAATTTAAGAAAGACATGATCTCAACCTGGGATAATTAATGTGAGTGGTTGAGCATATGCAAATTTTTCTGTGAGATCAGCTGAACATAAAAACACAATGCGAAAGAGAACAGACAGTTTGTTTGTGAACATGGTACCGCTTTTAAAGACAGATCTTGTCAGTTGGAAAGAAATTACTTGGGTGAGTTTCACACATAAAATTAATCACTATAAAATTAATCTTATAAATACCTTAGTCCATCAGGCCTTGTTGATCTGTTTTATGAAGAAATTAGAACAGGAATTAGTATCTATTAGAAAAATATTTTGTGATAATGGCTATCTTCTGGATGTGGTATCATCTAGCATTAATATTACATATCTAGCTTTAAGGATAAAAAAAACATTTCTTCTTGAACTGCTTTTTATATAGGTTGAGAAGAGAACATAATAGCTGGATTGGTCACACAATAGCACTGCCTGACACTAAGTGAAATTTCCTTGGCAAATCTTCCATCAGCTTGATTTGTTTAGTTTAAAATCTCTTATCATTCCTTGTTTTGGTCCTAACACTAAATGATACTAAGATTTATCAGTCATTAACTACCTATATATCATAATACTCATTATACATTGATCTATGCTATATCTGATAATATCATATCTATCATCATTCTCCTGACTGAATCATATTTGGAATCATATTTATATATGGTACTACCATATGTTGTTATAATTGTTAACAAGTAAGGCTGAAATTCTCATCACCTTCTTTCTTCTTCTTCTACATGCCGTGTCTCTTCAGGACATAAGCGATCACAGCTCTCCACAATTTCCTCTCCTGCGTAGCTCTTAATAAACTTTGTCCTTTTGTTATTTCTCCTAAACCTTGTTCCATCATCCATTTACTGAAGATCACTAAATATATTATGCATTGTTTTCCTCTGTTTCTTTTTCCTTCAATCTGTCCTGTGTGTATCAGATTTTCCAAGCCCTCTTTCCTCATTATGTACCCTTGAAATTATAACCAGGGTCATGCCAGGATTTAACACCATCTGATTACAAAATGATTTCGGGGTTAAGAAAAATGTATATGCTATCTCTAAGGCAAGAATGTAAATTTTTATCAGGCAATAGTAGCAAGGGTTCACCAGAAATAGATGAATTCTTAACAGACATCAGAAACACATGAAAGCTGTGGACAATTACAGGTGATGGTGGTACAAGGATGGGACCATTGTTGATTAACAAGGTTGTTAAACATTTGGGAAACATTCCATTACATTTCATTCAAATTCAATTCTGGTGCCACTCAACCCATCAGTCTATACAGTGTACAGTGCACATTGTATTCCATGAGGTTTGAAATCATTAACCAATAGGATTACCTTTATTTACATTTTTCTATCAGTTATTGCATCATGCCTGCATTATATCAGAGAACATTGTCAATTGACTGGTAAAGACAGGCACTGAGTCACTTTATAAAATTAGTCATATTTCTAACACTTTTGAGCATATGATATTTGGAAGAGACCTATGAGCAAGTATTGTACAAGAGAGTAAATAATGTAGGGTTCATTTTTTTGGAATCCATGAAAAATATGAGTGAAACTGGAGTTTCTCTTAACTGGTGTGATATACAAAGATCTTGTTGCAGAGAAACTGAATCTTTTTTTGCTCACTCTATTTTCTGGTGGCAATTTCCAACATGATAATGCAAACTCATCCAACATGAGTGAGTTACATGATATTTATTGCAGGAACATTTAACTGATTTTCAAGTACTTCATTACCTCCCATGCTCAAATGTTAAACCTGAGTGAATATCTGTGCAACATATAACAGACCTCACTAAATTCCCTGCAGCCACATCTAATAGTTATAAACACCTGGAATTTGGAATATATTCAATTTCTTCTTTAGCATTAAAACAATCAATGTAAGATTTATGAAAATAAGTTTTGTTAGAAGACATAAAGATATCAGCAAGACTAATAAAAGTATTTTGATGAAAGAGTTTTTCTTATTGCAGTTATGTTTCTTTCTTTATGACATATACAGGTGCTTGTTTGGTGGATGGGAAAGTGTATAAAATTGGTGAGACATGGAAGCAATCATGTTCCTTGACTTGTGTGTGTGAAGATGGTCACCATGGTATAGCAAGATGTTTTGATATGTAAGTGAACATTGGTTATGTAAAAAGAAAATGAAGATAAAATATATTTTCTTAACCCATTGTATAAAAATACTGAATCAAGTTCCTTACTCTGACAAAGAAACAGATAATCATTTTACTATAATTAGCAAAAACTTACATTTTAATTGACATCTAAGTGATTTTCACAAGATATTAATTTTTACCCACCAAAGCTTTGCTGTTCATATGATGTGCAAAATTAAAACTTTAAGCCACTTTGTCATGGAATTATAAATAGAAAGCCAGTCTTGAAGATAATAATAAGTCTATTTTGAATTTAATCCTGATGAGAAGCCCAAAGTAATTGGTTTTTGACAGATTAAGATAAGTTTAATGCATATAAGTCCTGCAACGAGAGAGAATTTAGCAAATTCTCTCACAGAACTTAAAACTGTAATGATTTTAGTCTCCATTGCTTACTTTATACTTGAATCCTTGTACTAAATTAAGCTAAATATATAAACATTTGGTTACCTTGCTAGCCTAGCAGACCATTACTGCAACAATGAATTTATCAATGTGTGTCTCACACTGCTGATCTTATGCCATACTAATTGTAGTAAATAACTGTTTGGGCATCTCACAATGAAAAGATAATTAAATGAGTTCAAATTTCAGTTGATTGTACTTCATTGACTTCCTGATGTAATGGAATTACTTGTCACCCCCATGAGTGACTACACTATAGGTAGTAACTACCTATAAGTGTCTGTAAGTCAAAATTCTACAGAGACTAGCTGGGATCTGTTACTCAGCTCTTAGCTGTTGTCGAACTCTCTGCCTGAAGGCAGAGAGGAACCTGGACGAGGCTATGCTGAAGGGCAGAGTCTTGTCTGGGGCTGTAGACAGACCCAGACCCGTTTATGGGGGTTTTACAGGGAATTTTTGGCCAAGCCTACAGGCTCAGATTGTCCCACATTAAATTTGGCTTTGTGCCACATTCTACCCTGTGAGGAGGTTGGTAAATATTACTAGCTGGGATCTGTTGAGTACGACTCAGACTTATGCGAGATCTACCGACCTTCCAATAGTAGCACTCACTACTGGATTGACTTGTGATGACCTTGTGCATAACTGTTACCTTTAATCTTGTACTGGTTTTTACAATAAACCTTTACTTATTTTATCCACCTTGTTTTTCAAGTATATATTTCTATTAGCACGGAATATAACACTTTCAAACTTTGTGCTAGACTAAGATAACTTTAGGAAATTCACATGCATAAACAATATCTATCTATCTATCTATCTATCGTGTAACACTTTTTATAGGGTGCACAGATACTACACTCTTATACTAGTACTGGGGTGTAACAATCTGATTGTTTTTAGATTTCAGATACTTTGATCCTAAGCAGAATTGCTTTACAATATATAAACTTGTTATTTTTTATGGGTAGTATGCACAAACTTAATAATTAATTTTTTGATTCCATTTGTTAATTCCTTTGTCTTATCTGATTGTTTAGAGATTCCAATATGAAACATTTATCAACAATGCTTCACTGGTAGCAAAAGTTTTTGAAACCAAACTGAAATCATCAAGAACAATATTGCAATACTGAATAATTGCATGGATTTTGAAATATGAAGGATTTTATTTTATGTTGAAGGAATATTTCACTTCATTTATTCCAATCATTTTGCTTAGTTGTCAATTATGATGATGATTATTGGTACATGATGATGCTGATTATTGGTAAATGTTCAAAACCATTTCCTACAATTTACTTTACCATCAGAAAAAATGATTGGCTAGAAATAGCAGAACAAAATTAATAATAATTAGTATTATTACTGGAACAATAACAGCAAAGAAATGTCTGTGATAATTTTTATTTCAGGGTGCACTTATAGAATAACTAAAACTCTGAGGAGTACTTTAAATTTTAATTAGGAAAAATAGATTAATAAAATTTGAAATAAGTCATTATAATTTGATTTGAATAATAATTTGAAATAAGTCAATGACATTTGAAAATAATAAAGAAATCTCCTGAAATAAGCATTTATTTTTACATTACATCATATATTTAAACAGTAGAGTTTTCAGTTAAATGGATTTATGAAAAATCTGCTATTTTTCTCTTTAGAGAGACCAATAATGACTGATTTAAATCCATCAAGGAAGGCAAAAGGGAAAAGATTATCTACTCCTTCTTAAAGATTAAGGAATTTAGCATTCAGTTTAAAATATCAAATGACAAAGACTTGACTTAGATATGGAAGCCATGTGTTTGGCGTCTCAAGCTTTTAAAAAAATATTTTTTAGATATAAAAATAATTAATAAATTACACTTCTGTTAATTTGGTGCACATCTGGCTACCTTTCAGGGCACATTAGTGTACCTGGGCACACCTGGTTACCTTTCAGGGCACATTAGTGCACATGGGCACACCTGGCTACCTTTCAGGGCACATTAGTGCACCTGGGCACACTGGTTGAGAAACACTATTCTAGAAGATATCCTAATTTATTTGAATTCTACACTGCATATTTTAGAAGCATAATTTGGAAGTTTAAAATAAAGCATTCCTAAGGGTCTGATTATTATTTCAAGGTTTAAAATGACACAATATCTTTACAAAAAGAATCAAATTACTCATCTGAAATTACTCAGATTAAAAACTTCTCAATCTTGTCAAATATTCTAAATACATTTTCAAATTTTTATAATTTCAGGTGTGCAACATTCTCAAATCTTCCTTCAAGATGTAGGAAGGTAAAGGTACATGGTAAATGTTGTGAGAAAATTATTTGTGATAATGGCACTCTGATAGACTCTCAGAAATTAAACAACACAATTGGAGGCAGTGCAAATGGCAACCAATCAATTACAAGCATTCAGAGTAAGTAGAATAAGGTTCAAAATTATTTCCTTACTTTACTCTTATTCTTAATCATTTAAAATGCACAACATTTTACTTACAAAATATTTTCTACATTTTAACCTTTTTTATTTATTTTATCAAAATGCTGGATTTTAGAGTTCTAAACTATAACTATCATGTTATATTCCCACTCATAAATTTCCAATGTGTATAATATCTGGTCGGAAAATTCAAACTAACTTTGAGATCCAGGGAGGTTTTTATGACTAAATTGATCTGTCATACCAGTAGTATAGTTCTATAAACTGTTACATCCGCAAAACTTTTCCTGACTATGTAGGAAGTACCCCAATCTTTTCCATTTCAGCCAAATTAACCCTAGAACACTAACCATCAATTAAAGTTACACCACTACTAACCATAGGTATATCATACCTGATTTTGAAAATATAAAAAAAACAAATATTAAATATAAATCTTTATTTGAAATATTTTACATGCAGGCACTTCAAACTTTGTACTTTGAGTTAACATTAATGGGAACTGAAAAATATATGATTTAGGGAAGAAAATCAGGTACTGAAAATTGTGATTAAAAATAGGAAAATTTGAGCTGGGTACTAAATACCCATGGTTAGTGTTCTAGGGTTAAATTCCCCAGATAGTGAGGAAACATAATTTTTCATATTTTTAGTATGGTTACTAGTGCACCAATAAAAACTGAGATTCTCTAAGTCTTGAGACAATGTATCTGAATTTCAATTTCTAAATACTTGTTATTACTTTGTTTGTTGAACAATTTGATTGAAATATTTGTGCCAATAGGGATTGTTAATTCAATGAGTGAGCATTTTTCCAACAAATCCTTGACACTTATATCCAGCTTATTGGTTCTTATTGTTCTGTTCGTGTGGACTAGAAAATTCTAGAACACATATATATTTTCATCAGATATCAAAGAATTTGGTTTATGTTCCCACCAGTTTTTTCCTATGGCAGATTGCACTTGTCACCTATTGTCCAGTGAATATAATGACATATTCTTTTACAGTATGGACAGTATTCTGTTAGGGCTAAGAGAATGCAGTCTGACACTATTTGGTCAATAGTTTCTGAAAGTTAGTTACAAATTCTGCATCAGGAACTGATATCATTTTTGAGAATGTTATACTTAAATTGTCAAAGTGTTAGGCATTGATCTTGTTCTACAACTAAAAAATCCTTCTGTCTTGGATTTTAAGCCAGCTGTGGAAAGCTAATAATAGGTGACATTTATATCAATATCCTTGATATTTACCTGTAAAATTTGCTAGTACATATCCCCGAATGATTGTAATACTTTTGATTGATCAGTTATTACAAAAAGCTTAAAACCTCTAATAATTACTAATAACTTTGAATCTCAAAAATCTCCTTAGCAAAAACTGTATTGTTTAAGAATTCCCATCCTCTTTGCGAGATTAAATCTGCAATATATGTAATCAAAAAACATTTTTATATTCGTCATACAAACACCACATTCTCTCATAGGTTAACTTGTCACTGGGTGCAATTTGTGCACATATTGAACCTCACATCACAAAAGAATTACAATTATTAACAAGAGACAAATATTATTAGGTAATATTAAAATATGCACTTCAAGGAAAGACTCAAATGCTCAAAGCTATTATTGTACAAAAAAATAACTCAGTAAATATAATGTATTTCACCACAGGATATTGCATTTTAAAAATTGCAAAAAATATTTAATATGCATATAACATTATATAAAATATTTTTACATTCATTTCCCAGTGCAGTCAAGTTCTGTGAAATTATTCTTCACATGATGTTACTGATACAATGCATGAATATTTGAATTTGAAATGTAATGTTCAATAAAATACAAAGATGCTACCATCAAAATCTTGTCTACTCCACTGATGACATCCAGTTCTTTATAATAACCAAAAGAGTCAAAAGGACTTCAACAAAAACAGAAGAAAAGATGAAATTTGGACAGTTTATCCATAATTTTTATTTGGATGTACAACTTATTTGAATTTATCTATGTAATTCTTACCTTACTTATATAAATTCCTATTTATTGTATTACTAATAAATATTTTTATTAACTATTATTGATATATCTCTAGATATTGAGTTCTGTATTTGGAAGGAATTCTTGACTTGACTGTGTTGTCTTATCGAATTGACCCTGTTCAGCATATTTTTTCAAAATAAAGTCTTCATTATTATACTTATTCTTTTATATCTCTCTCTTCATATATATATGTGTGTGTGTGTGTGTGTGTGTGTATCCAATTAATTCATCGAGTCTAGAAGAATACTCAAGAGAATGCAGAAAGAACTGGATGGTTGTTTCGTCCTATTTGGGACTCATTAGCACTGCACATCCACTACCAAGAATTGAATCTGGACAGTTACAATACAGCACAAGTGACATACCAACTGTCCCAAAGGATCTCGGTGACAAAGTGGTGAAAAAATAGACTTAATATAGCACTGCTCTCACTTTCTGTGGTGTAATTCATCCAAGAATAGCTTTCCCATAGGATTGTGCCCCACCCCACCATGACCAACCTCTTTTTCCCAGCTGCTCCCTCTCAGAGCATTAGAAGCTGGTTCAAGCATTGATATACAAACATTGAAATTATTGGGGGGATTTGATATATATATATATCAAATATATATATCAAATATATATATATATATGTGTGTGTGTGTGTGTGTGCACGTGTTCATGTGTGTGTGTGTGTGTGCACGTGTTCATGTATGTGTGTGTGTGTACTGTGAGAGAAGTAGTATCATAAAAGCAAATAAAATTATAACTTCTGATTTTCTATTAAAGAGTACACTCATCATTTACTTCTGAATAAACTTACATTATTTAACAATTATTATTATTATTATTAGTCAGTTTTTCTGTGTCATTTTAGGAGGCTGCTTGTATAAAGGATCTTATTATGAACCCAACCAAATGTGGACTGATGGTTGTCAATGGAGATGCCAATGTGTCAATGGGACAGAAGGGGTGTACAAATGTTCTCACAGGTCAGTGGACAACCATGCATTATTTCAGCACTTTCTATAGATATTGTCAATTCCAATGTTTCATTTCTGAAATCTGATGTAAATCCCAAAATTTAATGCACTTGAAGCAAATAGAGTTTCTGGCAGGAATACCCCCGCATGCCTTATGTATTTATTGACAAAAATTTCTTCCAAATATTACATTCAAGTTAATGTGTTTATAATGATATTAAACATTTACTTATAGCCAAAGAAAATAATTTATCCCAAAGGTCTGATTATGGGGTATGCAAAATCCCCTCAGTGCAATTATTGGTATTAAATAAAAGAGAAAATTTGGAGATTAATTTTATATAATCATTGGATAAATTATTCCAAAGGTCTGTTTACAGGTATGCAAAATCCCCTCAGTGCAATTATTGGTATTAAATAAGGAGAAAATTTGGTAATTAATTTTATATAATCATTGAATAAGTTTGAAAAGTCATAGGTCTTATTTAATAGTAGAACCTCAGTGATGTAATGCTAAATGATGATGTAAGCAATCGTAAAGGAACAATAAATATGAGAACAAAAAATGTTTAGAGCGCAAAGAAAGATTAAAACAATGCTAATTGCTCAAGCTCAGGTATGAAGCAATCTAATCAATGACATTCCAGTTAATTAAATGTACTTAAATTCATCTGAGAAAACACATGACACCACATTTTAAAAGTATGACCTATGTTCAGAGTGTGTAATATTAGGAAAATAGCCTACTTAGAATAATGGCATCTGACTTGCAAAGTTTTCCTTGTAACTTCACATTTTTATCCCAGTTTTAATCTTCAAAGTTCTCTGTTGGTATTACGATGCCTTAATCTTCTTTAAGGTATTTTAACAACAATTTTAGCTTTGGAATAAATTAGAATTTGTAAAGACATAAATTTCGAGTATAGATGGTATTGGCAGACCTGGAAGATGTAATGCTTTGCTAAAATATCCTGCAAAAGATGTGAAGAATCTACTTTGTAAGTCTTTGTCAATGCAACACTCACTAAGTACACAACCTCACTCAATAATCTCACTGCTGAGGGGAGATTTTCTGTGCAACCGTTCCTTAAAATATTCAAAATGGCTGGATACATTCCATACAGATCTTCTATACCAAATTTATTGATCTGTAGCTTTCATTGCACAAGAGAGAATAAGAATCATAAGCTATTAATTATATGAAAAATTATTCAAATTTTGTATTGTCTGTTTATATCACTCTTTTAAATTTTGAATTTGCGCAATTGGGAAGAAATTAATATATATCCATAAATTTTTCAAGTTAAAATGTGAATAGGGATTAAAAATTTGTACAAATAAAATTTTCAAAAAATTTTTTATTGGTGATCTACATAAACTTCTGAAATTTGCATGTAATATGAAGTGCACAAGATGAAATGAACTGTTCAGAGAAAATATGCATGCAATATGAAGTGCACAAAATGCAGATGAACTGTTCAGAGAAAATATGCATGCAATATGAAGTGCACAGAATGAAGATGAATTGAACTGTTCATAGAAAATATGCATGCAATATGAAATGCACAGAATGAAGATGAATTGAACTGTTCAGAGAAAGTATGTATGCAATATGAAGTGCACAAGATGAAGTGAACTGGTCATAGAAATAAGGAATGATTTTGCTATGAACTCCTTTGATAATGTTATTTCAATCACATGTGCCACAAATCAAAAATAAAATTCAACAGGCACATTTTATTGTTGCTTCCATATAAGAAAATTTACTTACATTTTTCTGACACAAGGCTATAACAGGATACCCAGAGAGGATTGAGCTCACTGCACACTCCTGTACTAAGCATGATTATCATGTTAGTCATTAATATATGAAAGGAACTTTTCTGGTCTTGTATTTGGTTCTCTGACATAATTTTTAGAATGTATTTTAAGATTTCTTTAACATAATTTACTCATTCTTTAGTATAATTTTAAATTTCCATTATTTATTACAGTATTTACACTGTATAATTAAATATTTCCATTGTGTAATTTACAATTAATATTGTCTCATCTTTTCATTATGTAATTTAAAATATCCATAATGTAATTTAAAATTTGAATAGTGAAATTTACAATTTCTAAAGAATAATTTTAATTTATCATTGAGCAATTTATGATTTCTGGTGTAAAAATTACTATTACTGTAGTGTAAATTAATATTTCAAGTGTGTAATTTAAATCAAATTTTAGTCTCATAATAATTTCATTACAGTTTTACCTTGGTTTTATTTCTAACGATAAATTTTAAGATAAATTTATTTGGGGAAAAGTACATATATATAGCTGTATAATTATATCCTATCATTATCAATATATAGTTGTAAGATCTTAATATTATTAATATCTCATATCATTATCAATTTATAGTTGTAAGTTTTTAATATTATTATATCATATCATTATCAATATATCATATATATTTTCAGATGTTATAATAATGAATAGAAACATTGAGATTGTAGTAATTATGAAAATAGTTAATTATTAAAATTTGTCTTCAGTTAAAATACTTTTATTTAGTTTTGCATTTTAGTGTACAATTTATTTTATTTGTATATAAAATTGAATACAAATTGACCAGAAAATTTTCAGATTTTCTGTTATTCAACCAATTATATTTATTCATTGTTAGGTGCCCAACATTCAAAAATCTGCCCCCTTCTTGTCATATGGAGAATTTTCCAGAGGAACCTTGCTGTCAAATGCCTGTTTGCAATACAAATGAATCACTTATTCTTGTCCCAAGTAATGGTAAAGGGATAATAGGCATTGGAAAAGTAACTGATCCAGTAAAAGGTAAATTTACATTAAAGCATTTATGGACCTATATATATATATATAAATATTTAAGACATTTTTTACGTTTATATGTTCTTTTTATAGATACAAATATTTAAGCAAATGCTCTGTTTATAATAAACAGTATTAACAACATTTACCAGCCTGAATGTCTGAGAAATTTTCATAGAAAATATGCGTCCTCCGACTGGAATCAAACTTTTATCCTATACAGAACCGTCATATAGCCTGATGTGTCTTAACCTATTGGGCCACAGAGGAGCGTTCATTTCTGTGAAAATTTACATTTGACATTTAGGCCAGTAAATGTTGTTAATACTGTTTATTATAAACAGAGGATTTACTTAAATATTTGTATCTATAAAATGAATGTATTAACATAAAAAAGGTCTTAAATAATTGTCAGACTTTGTCTATTTCATAATGTATGATGTCATTTGTTTACATTTGGATATGCATTGAGCAGATATAAATGAATGAGAGAAAATCATGGAGAATTGTGTTTAAAAAGAGTAAAATCAACCTTGCTAACTGAACTCTGTGTCTCTGTGTTTTTTTTAATTGGTCAGTAGAAAATGTCATGATGCCATTTCTGGACGTCCGGTTTGATCTTCATCTTCAAGGGTGAAATCTCCACCTCTGAATTTTGCAAACCATCTTCTGCAAGTTCTTTCATTTACACATTCCTCTCCATAAAACGAGTGAATGTTTCTAGCCGCTTTGGCTGCTGAGTTTCCTTTCTTGAACTCATAAAGCATTATGTGCCTCAAATGATTCTTGGGTACTTCCATGTTAGCAGGGTTTTAATCAAACAAAATTTAATTTTATTGTTCACTGAAATAAAATTTGATCAGTTTAAATGCATCTAAACATAAAAATAATGTTCAGCTCCATTAGACATTATAAAATACTCTTTAAATTTCGTTCATTTTAACAAAAAGTTAAAATTCGGACAGAACTTATGGGATAACCTGATACTTAAATATTTGTATCTATAAAGAAGAATGTATAAACACAAAAATGTCTTAAAAATAATTGTCGGACTTTGTCCATTTCATAAAGTGTGACGTCATTTGTTTACATTTGGATACGCATCGAGCAGATATGAATGTATGTGAGAAAATCATGAAAAATTGTAGTTTAAAAACAGTAAAATCGATCTTGCTAACCGAAACGCTCGTCTGTAGCGAAATCGGTAAAAGCACATCAGGCTATATGACAGTTCTGTATAGGATACAGGTTCGATTCCTACAATAATTTCTCAGACATTCAGGCCAGTAAATGTTGTTAATACTGTTTATTATAAACAGAGGATTTACTTAAATATTTGTATCTATAAAATGAAAGTATTAACATAAAAAATGTCTTAAATAATTGTCAGACTTTGTCTATTTCATAATGTATGATGTCATTTGTTTACATTTGGATATGCATTGAGCAGGTATAAATAAATGAGAGAAAATCATGGAGAATTGTGTTTAAAAAGAGTAAAAATCAACCTTGCTAACTGAACTTTGTGTCTCTGTGTTTCTTTAATTGGTCAGTGGAAAATGTCATGATGCCATTTCTGACCTTAGGATTCTGGGCAGGACCTGGAAAGAAATGTGTACACACCAGAAATCAAAGGAAATCAAATAATAATAATAATAATAATAATCTCTCCATGGTATTATTTTAAATATTCTCATATTCTCATCTGCAGGGTAAAATTTATTTATTGGAATTCTCTCCAAATGCCAAACTGATGTTTATCTCTTTTGTATCAGTTTAAACCATATAGAAAAGCTCTAAATTTAAGTTTGAAAAACACAATTTATGTTTTATTGACCATCTTAAATACAAGGCATAACATTAGAAAAGCCAGATATACAATAGAAAATGTTACAGTACAATATAAACCTATTTAATCCATCTTGATAATACCAAATCATAAATTGTCCTGAATTCTGTTTTCTGTGTTTCAATTTGATAAAACAAGATAAATGCTTTAGATGCATAGGGGGTAATTCCATCTTGGACATTTTGATATTCAATGTTAGGTATGGAACATTTTCACACTAAGAATATTTAAGCAATATGCTAACTAGTTTTACAGAAATTGATGTACTCTAAATTGCCAACATTTTATTGCCATGAGACAAAGGAAAATTCACCTTTAATTTGTTTTTGACAAACTCAGTCAAATGGATGTAATGGTTGTGTTTTAATATTATAAAGAAAAGATTACATGTGAAGAAAGAATTATTGCACAAAATGGTGTTGTCATCCACAAAATAAAACAACAGAAACAATGTTATTCTCCTAGACTGATTGAAGTGTCACATGTTTCAAAATCTTATTTTCCTCTAAAACACCCAGCACCTAAATTTGGGTGTCAATATATTTGATTTTAGATATAATTATATTTATAAAATCAAAACTTCTCACGTAAATCAGAATTATATCAAATAGAATTTGAAACTTTAAAATGTACTTAATGAAAAAAATGAAAAAAAAAATAGTAAAAATATACAACTATAATGAAAATTACAATAAGTACTATAAATTTTAATTATATCAAAAACTCTAAAATACAAAATTATTTTTATTTTATTTGTGAATATTGTATAATAAAAACACCTTCTGATGTTCTTTTTATTCTTGTTAGAGGGCTGTGTCTATAAGAATATCATTTATCAAGAAGGGGAAAAATGGATAGATGGATGTACATATTTGTGTGAGTGTACAAATGGTAAAAGAGGAATGTATACCTGCAATGAAAGGTACGTACCTTATGATTTTGTTAACTCAATTTTTGAGATAGGAAAACTGACTCACATCATGTTTTTAAATTTCTCAGTTAAATAGTTTATTAACTATTTAAATGGAATATATATTTGCAATCTTATGTTGTGGTGCTACAAAAACCAAAATGAACATTTTAGTCAATTTTAATAGTACTTGTACAATTTTATCAAGAGGTTATACTGTGGTTTTAGTCAAGAAATTAAAAGTATATATTTTCTCTTAGAGATATGTTCACTGATAAACATTCAGTGTGTAACTTCTGCAGATAACAATATGATCAAAAAAGAAAGGACTGTGAAAAAAAAATCATGAATTGTGATTCTTACCTTTCTTTACACTTGCTGAAATCAAAAAGCAAATGCAATGTACAAAAAAACATAATTATAGTTTTGTGTCTCAACCACTAACCACTTATTTTGAAATGCTAGTCCAAGAAAAGTTACTTAATTCTTTTAGGTGAAAATTTTAGATGTTTCTGAGCTATATATAGTTTTAATGGTTGTTAAATGGAATCAATTATTCTCCACACGTTGCTGAATATTTTAGTCATAAAAATAAATATAAATTACATATATATATCTTATACAATAGTATTATAGGTTTAGGATGCATAGCCAAGTGGTTAGAACATTTGCTTTCAGACCATGAAACTCAGGTTCAAATCTCACCATAGTCAGTTTGTCAGCAAGGAGACTTCCTGATGTTATTGGATTGGATTGGGGTTGATCACAGCATGCAGCACCTTTGGAAAGTGCCTGAAAACCATACTACATGATGACCCAAGCCTTGTGAGTGAAATTGGGTAGACAGAACTCTTGGGGGCCTTCGATAGCTGTGCAAGCACAAAGCCACAATTCATCATGGCCGAAGGCATAAGCATGCTTGACTTATTCAAATTGTTGATTATGCCCAGAAACTGTAAGTTTCAGAATAGTTGCAGACACAAAGTGAGCATCTGCAATAGGGATTGGCTAGCCACCCTAGTAGACCGATATTCTTGAATACAAATGGCCAGATATTATTATAGGTTTAGGGATAAAATCTGGTAAATTATAGCTACTAGCTCTGTATATTTAAAGTATTTTCAATAAGATGTTTGTATTTGATACTTACAAGATCTATTAAAGGCAAGAGGGGTAAAAGGAGAGTAAACTTACCTAATGGGTTTGGCTAAATGGATGGCAAAAGAAGAGACTTGGAAGGAGAGTAAGGGTCAAACATTGCTTAAAGCTACAAAGAGTAAGAAATGTGAAGAGCCGTGATCACCCACATCGTGAATGGATATGGTGCATAATAGAATAGTATATATACTTTTGTTCATAAGTGATCTTTTTTTAATTGAAGGGAATATATCTTCAGTATCTGTCTATATTTCTGAGATAAAGTATTATGTACATTATTTACATTATTCAGACTATTTCTTCTGTATTTATTACAAGGACACATGGCACAGTGGATAAAGGTGTTAGTTAGATCAAGTGACAGGACCCAAAGAGTGTGAGTTTAATACCCGGGTAAGGCAGTGGAGAACTTTCAGAGGGAAATTAACAGAAGATAACTGATAACTGACATCCATTAAACATGGCACGTGAAACTAGAACAATCTACCCCAATGAGTGAAATAAAGGGTTCAGTTCGATATTCCAACCACCTGAAGAAGGCCGGAGCATACAACAGCCAAGACATGGAATATATCTTATCGGTTAAAAATTAAGAAAAAGATTAACGTAATTTCAATATTAATTTATAAACCAAAAAATAATGATAAAAATTAAACATCTGGAGAAAAAATCAATCTCGTATGGGAGATAGCTCAATTCACAAAACTGATTTAATATCTTCTTCTTCTTCTGTGTGCCATGTCCCTTCAGAACATGGGCAATTATGGCTCCCCACAACTTCCTGTCTTTTGTAGCTCTTACTAAAATTTATTTTTTCTATATCTATTAATCTTTGTTCTGCCAACCATTTACACAAGCTCGTTAGATAGGTTAGGAACTGCTTTCAAATTGTCCTGTAAGTGTCAAATTTTCCAAGCACTCTTTCCTCATTATGTGTCCCAGAAACTTCAACTGTTTTTTGTTTTTTCTGATTTTAAGTATAAGTTTCCTTTTTGTTTCCATTTTCCTTAAAACTTTACTATTGCTTACATATTCAGTTTATTGCATTCTCAGTATCCTTCTGGTATAGAGTTAACATTGTAATCAAATAAAAAAGCTAAGCAAATATTCTTGTGGAAGATGTTAAATTCTTCTCCCAACAACTAACGGTTAACACAAAATCTTTAGGATATATTAATGCTGTTTCTGTGACTTTTGCTCAATCATAGTTTTAGATATATGGATCAACTGAAGGATTCCTTCATGTGCTGACATAGTTCTGGCTATCCTGATTTGTTTTGTATGTGCTATCATGAATTTAATTAATTCTATTGTGTAAATATTACAATATCCAATGTATCCCGTAGCACAACATGACATACTTCCTTTGACTTCACCCTATAACTTATCATTATGAAAATATCTGTCGGTCATGTAACATAACTATATACAGCTTTCTTTCATTACAGTAAGACATATTATTATCAGCCTTTATAAATTAGCATATAGTAAATTTTCATGAAAGTTGCAAAATGTGACAGATTTTCCAAGGCTCAGCAAAACTATTCTTAGCTTTTGAAAGAGGTGAATAATTATTGTATTACAATAACTGCTTAAACACAACCTTTATAGATACAAATCACTCAAATATATATATATATATATATATATATATATATATATATATATGTGAACATTGAAGTCAACACTCAGATGCAACAGAATGCTTCATGCTAAATGCAATCATCACGCCTGATGAAACAGTCTGTTCACCTCTGGGTGTTGACTCCAATGTCCACTTTTATATTTACATACACTCTATCTCTGATACTGAGCATTTTATCCTATAAATAGAGCATACCTTAAAACTTTTAAAACTATATTTATTTATTTATTTATATATATATATATATATATATATATATATATATATATATATATAGAGAGAGAGAGAGAGAGAGAGAGAGAGAGAGAGAGAGAGCAGGATTGGTAAATTGTCACCATTTTATATTGTTACTTGCTCACATGGACATCGAATGTTTTTCATTTTGTTGGTATAGTCAGTAGGGCACCTTCTGTGAAAAAAAGAAATTTGTAAATGGCTGTGTCAGCAGATCCAATACAAACATTTCACAGTGTTTAGGTGTCAAACTAAGGACAGTGCAGAGGATTCCGAAAGAGTTGGATGAGTCTAATAGTGATTATGAATGTACAGAAGCTTGAAAAGCTCACTCTTATTATTCTAAGAAAAGAACTCACAAATTTGTTGGTGAGAACCTCAGACTCAACATGGAGACCTACATCCAGTCCTTTGAAGAGGTAGTACTGCCCTAGATCAAGAGGGTGGAAGATCCTATGCCTGGCAACAGGACTCTGCACTATGCCAAACAATCAAGAGAAGCTAGTCATGGCTTTCAAACAATTTCTGCAACCACATCACTCCTTACATCAGGCCACCTAACTCTCCAGACTGCAACCCCCTTGATTACTATGTATGTGGCGCAGTTAAGTGGGAGACCAGCAAAACACCTTGTAACACTAAAGATGAACTGAAGGCAAGGATTATGGCAGCATTCACCAACTTAAACAAAGAAAGCATTCAGATGAGTTGCAGGAGATTCCAAAGTCATCTGGAGGCCATGGTTGAAGTCAATGGCGATTTTATTGAATAAATTTACTCTTTAGTATTGCAAGATATTTTTGTGTAATTTTGGTAATATATATGTTAAAATGATATGTCAGTGTTATTTTCATTTTTGCATAATTTAGGCGACAATTTATCCATCGCACCCTGTATGTTCATTCATATATATATATATATATATATATATGTGTGTGTGTGTATATATAAAAGTGAACATTGAAGTCAACACTCAGAGGCGACAGTTTGTTTCATGCTGGAAACAATTGTCAGGCCACCTGACGATTGCGTCCAGCATGAAACAGCCTGTTGCCTCTGAGTGTTGACTTCAATGACTTTTATATTTATATTTACATACACTCTATCTCTGATGTTGAGCACTCTATCCCATAAATAAAGCACACCTTATAACTATATTTCTTCATATATATATATATATATATACTAGCAGTAGAGCCCGGCATTGCCCAGGGATGTAACAGTAAGAGATAGATCAAGTATCCACCATCATAAAGACTGAAAAATAAAATTGACAAAGATTATTGTTTAAGGTTGATGGACACGCATGTCTTAATTAGTTTTTTTTTACGAATTGGTCAAACCCAAACTCAAACAAAAACCTTGTTTTCAATCGTTATGAGTCTACCGATTGAATAGAATTTTAATATAAACAATTGTCTTGTAAATGGAATTTTAAAGCATTCTGAATGTAAAAATAAAGAAAAAAGTGTGCAAGACAATAAGAAACACTACCTGTCAAAAAAAAGTGAAGTTTTGTTGAAATCGGTTGAAAAATGTAGGAAATTCGATCCCATATATAAACGAACACACACACAGACACACACAGACACACACAGACACACACAGACACACAACTATCCAACCAACCAACCAACCTGGGTTTTATAATAAGTATAACTCGATAACTTGATATTAATTAGTATAACTCGATATGAGTTATCCCCCTTTCATTAATGCCTCTTAATCATGTTTTCAAATTGATTTCGTGCAAAAACAATTGTGTTTTTCCAATTTTTGGCACTGTCAAAACCACTGCAAGGTAATTTTACGTAGTCCTGTGAAGTTTCGTTGAAATCCGTTGAAAAATGTAGGAAATCCGATCCAATATATAAATGTACAGACACACACACAATCTGCATTTTAAAATAAGTAAGATGATCTAACAAATCGTATTCATTTTTAGTAGCCTTTCTGTAATCTTTTAGAATTTATGATTTTTACTTACAGTAAAAAAATTTGGACACCTTGTGTATTTAAAGTAGTTTCCGGTTATTATTTTTAGTTAGGAGGACTTGTCTATGTTTAGATTTCATTTGTTTACTTTTTGTGTATCGTTCTCTTAAAAAAAAACAAACGCTGAGTCACTGGAAGTTAACGGCATTCTTACGTTTGAGTAGCCAGCAGTAACTTCCAGCCAGGTGTGATATACTTAACCGTGTTTTCAAATTGATTTCATGCAAAAACAATAGTTTTTCCGATATTTGGTGCTGTTAGAACCACCGCAAAGTAATTTTACATAGTCCTGTGAAGTTTTGTTGAAATCGGTTGAAAAATGTAGGAAACAGATACACACACACAATCTGCATTTGCATTTTATATAATATATATATATATATATATATATATATATATATATATATATATATATATATGTAGGTATGTATGTATGAGAGTGATATAGAGTGAAAGAGAAATGAAGGTGAGAAAAGAATATGTGTATTGTATACACATTATTATTTATTTTGATTGTTATCTACTTTTATCTGAATTTTTATACATATGTATATGTGTGTGTGTGTTTGTGTGAGTGTATATGTGTGTATTTATGTGTGTATGTATATGAAAATTCTTGAAAGAAAATATTTTTGTTTATTATTTTAATTTGAAACTGCTTTTTCACTGACCTCTATATAAGTAATCTTTTATTGATTTTTCTTCAGGTGTGAAAGATTCGGATATATTCCAGACAGTTGCCATCTGGTAAATGATCCAAATGATGACTGCTGTGAAAAATTAGTATGTAATGCTGTCAGTGGAAGACCAAAAATCCAGACAACTCCAGCAACTGTAGGTAAGCAATCTTTACATAATTTAGATTACAAGGCCTGCTTGGAAAGCATTTAGCTCTTTGACTATCTTGAGAACCAATCTTGATATAATATGGCAACCAATCAGAAGTTGTTCTGTCATGAATGTATAGATAGTGACTCGCTTGTGGAATTACTCATTTGGCAGTTAGTAACAACTGAGTGACATATCATTTACATTGTCATATGAGGGTTTTTTTTGGCCAACAACTCATCACTGAAGTTGTTCAATTCCACTATAACCCAGATTGGGTATTTGCAACATTTGATCTTTTCCAAACCTAAAATTGCTTTTCAAAAGGATGTGATTTCAGAACAATGATAAAATTAAAGTGAACATAACAAGGCAGCAGATGCCAATCCTGAAAGATAACTCTACAGACTGTTTTGAAATATGGAAGAGATGTTGCAATAAGTTTGTGAGTCCCAAAAAAATACTTCAAAGAGCACAGTGGTAACACTGCCTAAGCTATGCTATTTCTTCATTAATATTTAAAAGATGGATACTTTTAGATGAAGGTTGCTTTCTATGTAATCTATACAGCAAATAAATACAGTGAGCGAAATAAAGGGTTCAGTTCAACATTCCAAACACCTGAAGAAGGCCGGAGTATACAACAACTGAAACATTGTAATAAATATGGCGACAAAGATGAGGACAATAGTCCAAATAATGTAAATAGTGTACATAATATCACATCTCAGAAATATAGACAAATATAAATAAGAGCTTAACTACAACACTATTATTTTTAATTCTGGAACAATAAATATAAATAAGTTGTGAAGACTAAAATATAAGCTTCAGAACGCAGCATAATAAGCTCATTACAAAGTCTGTTTCCAAACATAAATAATAATAAATATACAGATGAGTAAATCAAAAAAGCTATTAAAATGAATGATAAAGCATAATTTGACAGTGAGGCTGAACTTTTGAAAATTGCTTACTTTCTCCCCAAATTTAATAACAAGTTTCTCAATTTTATGAACGAAGTCTGGAATCAGGCATGCGTCCCCCAAAATTGAAGTTTATTACACATTACTGCATTATAGAAACAGAATGGTAGCTCTCAAGACAGTTAAATATGTAGATGTATTGCAATTGGATCCATGATGATGAAAGTATTAATGAACATTATATTAACAAGGCTTTCATTGTTTTATGAAAGTTAACTTATCATGACCCAGTTTGGTTTTTGTTCTGTTAAGAGATGCAATGGTGCTATATATGTCATCAAATAACTCAAAAAAATTACTTACCTCTCTAATAGAAAACTGTATACCTGCCTTGTAGAGCTCCCATCAATAGAGACTTTCTCATCCCATCAATCAGAAACTGCCTTCCAAATTCTGAATCCACTAAATGCATCAATCTAATAGACAAACTGTATCAATCTACTAATTCTGTTTAGAAAGGATTCCAATTTCAAACTTTATTTGGATGAAATGAGAGTCCCATTCTATTTAATCTTATGCATATTTACAAACACAGATGTGAAGAGATTGGCACTGACGATTTAAGCGTTCTATACAGTGAATTAATGGATAGTGGCTCAAATTGAGAAACTGGAGAGTTGTGTCAGAATTCTAGTCAAATCCATTACATTCACTTACATGCTAATACCCTTGGGAATGGTATGAATCCTTTTCTTCTCCCTCCCCACCAGCTATGGGTAAATAGCAAGACATACTGCGTTCTATAGACTTGGATGGCAACTGGTCTACTGCAGAAAGAAATGACAACCTACTGCAGGGAAAAAATCTGCCTAAGTATGTATCATGCATGGCACATAACTGACTGATACTACAAGCTAAATGAATCTACCAAAAGAAGACAATGATCCTGCCTTCTCTGCTAAGGCCAGTGTGCTGATGATAAAGAGAGGACTTTGCTGATGACACAGATATTCATAGTTGGGCTAAGAATGATTGTGAACAGAAAAAAATCAACATCCTCTACCAAGAGTTCCAACAAATTGGCCTCAAGATAAAACTTTCCAAATCAGAAACTACGATATGGAATTGGAATGAAAGCAGCAATGGCACATACCCAGAATCCTTCATAAAAATTCAGTATGTGGAATTAGTAAGTACTAAACACTTCAAATACCTCAGCGTATATATTAGTCATAAAAAATTTAGTATAGGAGAAAAGGAAATTAAACATAATTTCACCCAACACTGTAAATTGCTACAAACCCAAGTATCAACCTGAAAACCAAAATCATATTCATACATAATCTCATCAGATTGACTTTCATATATGTTGTGGTAAACCCTCCTACAGTAGAATGAATTTTTTCTCCTCTCATAAATACTAACTGCAAGAGTCGGTTGCGGGGAATAAGGTAGATGCAGTGTTAACCTACCATTCGGACATACACCGCTATCTACTTATTACTAACACTCTTGCTTTATATATCTTCAATATACTTGTTTAACCTACAATCATCTTCCATGTCTTTGTTTCTGGCCCCTAAACAGGCAAGAACAATATCGATGTCATGCATGGTGCCAAATCTGTTCAGAAATATCTAAATTGTCAGCTGTATACAACCGCATTCTAAGGTCAATGGTTAAAAATAGCTTTGCACAAGTTTTGGCAGAAGATCATCCTTCTTTGAACATTGTGGACTGGTGTTATGGAATCACAGACTAAGAACTGTACCAAATAACAGAAATGACATCACTTCCAACCTGCCAGCAACAATTAAAATGGTTAGTTCATGTAACTCAGAGAAAAAACAATATAATCAAGATGTTGACATTCTACACATCTCCTTATAAAAAGTTAGGAAGGAAACTCCCATCAATATTGGAAAAAGCAAAACAGCTTCTAGACTTGAGAAGTACATTTCCTGAAAAATTGTCTTAAGAGAAAGATTTTATAAATTTCAGCCAAAACTAGTACTGGCTGCTCGATCAATGAATATGAAACTTTTTCTTGTAGGAAAATGGCTAATATTACTAATATTATTATCATTAATGGCTGCATTTGACAAAATTTAAAACAGTTCTCTTAAAAATGGCTTTTAGACATTGATTACAATTTAATTTATTGAACAGCATAACAACAACAAACAGCTGTGTTTACACTCCTACACTACTAATCAACTAGAGTATAACCATTCCTTTGCATCTGTACTCAATACACTTCAATAGCAGAAAGCCATTACCTCCATAAAAGAACCAAACCAGTGAAAATAATTTTGGAACAATGAATTCAAATAATCTGTGAAGGACAAAATATAATAACCTTCAGATTGAAGTATGATAGTGTTGTGGTAAGAGCCAGTTACTCTCCTATCATGAATTAACTGATTCATTCATGATAAGTAGTCCTGTGTAATTGCCTAGAAAAAAAAGAAGATAATTTCATTGCTACTGATTTTACAAAAGAAGTGCATTGAGAAGAATTTGATATAGTAATTTATTGTGTTATTTTGTTATTTATGACCTTAAATTTCAGCATTCAGTATGTATGTATATTATTTCTGTTATACATTTATTTATCACTAATCTATCAGTAATATTTGATTTAATTCCTGACCAATGACAATTCATTTCTTCAGAATTTTCAATATACAAACATACTGAGTGCTGAAATTTAAGGTCATAAATAACAAAATTTGGGGATTAAAACATCAAATTCCAATTTTAAACTTGAGTGTACCAACAATAATTTTCATTTATTCATAAAAACCTTCACTTTCTTTCATCAGTAATGATCTATTAATATTCTTTTGTGGTAGGACCTAAAATATATTTTATATAACTTGTATGACAGGAAATGGATGAGTATTACCAAATGTTTAAGAAATATTATATTCTCTATATTTGTTCTAAGTTTTAATGTATTTGCAAATGTCATTGTTTTTATAACGAGCTAGTATTACAATGATCTAAAATGCATTCCTATACTAAAATCATCTGCAATGCATTTTTTTAGTAACACACTATTACATTTACTGTGTCACTATTTAACTTACATTGATTAATGAAACTAACCATGGACTACAACAGAAAAAAAACACATTAGGAAAATGTATAGCACTGAGCAGAATAACAGAGTAACAGAATAGCAGAATAGCAGAATCAATGAATCACAAGACATTTCTTCCATGTGATTTTTTTGAATTGATCCTTATCTGGAAATGAGAAAAGTGTCATGTATGTCAACTGAAATCAATTACATACTTGACTATCTGCAGGTGAAATTTAGTGTTTTTCTTTCCCTTTGTATAGTTTTCTATTTCTTCCATGTCAGTAAAAGATAAATAAATTGAATTAATGGTTACTCTTCATTGTCTAAGTATTTTTTTCATTTTTTACCAGATTTGATTTCATTCTTTTTTATTTTATAGTTACTCACTTAAATATTGTCTTTCACAGCCACTGCTTGATGTCATATCACTTCTGATAATATATAATTTTTAATTATCTGAGAAGATTATCACTAAGCTTACTTATTAAGTATAAAAGAAACATCACTGATATGCTATTATGACTGACAGAAGAGTGCAGACAAGTTAAAGGTTTCTTACTTATTATTACTTGTTTTTTTACTAATAAAACTCATGAAATAATTCTGTAACTAGCAGTTAATATACTTGGAATTATCTCCCTTGCATAGACGTTTTCTATCAGTTTATACTTAATCAAAAATTACTTGAAAGCCAATGACCAGTTGGAGTGAAAAATTCTTTATTCTGAAAGTTAAACTATTTTAATAGTATTGTACTAATAAAAGTTGCACTAACATGTGCTGTTTTTGCATTGTTATGGTAATAAACACAACCATGTACAGAAATCAGCTCATTATTAGAAACATTAACTGACATCCATAAATTTATTGAATAATATTTGTTTTTAGGAAATATTTAGCACGCACACACACACACACACACACACACACACACACACACACACACACACACACACACACACACACACACACATATATATATATATATATATATATATATATATATATATATATATGAAGAAATATACTATTAGGGTGAGCTATATTTATGGGATAAAGTGCTCAATATCAGAGATAGAGCATGAGTAAATATAAAAGTGAACATTGAAGTCAACACTTAGAGGCGACACCCTGTTTCATGCTAGACACAATTGTCAGGCCACCCGACAATTCCATCTTGCATGAAACAGCCTGTCACCTCTAAGTGTTGACTTCAATGTTCACTTATATATATATATATATATATATATATATATATATATATATATCTTTCATTGTAGGAAATTGTTACTACAAAGGACAGATGTACAAACAAGGAGAAACTTGGTATGATGAATGCAGTCTACGGTGTTTCTGTGAGGATGCACAGACTGGATATTACCATTGTACAGACAGGTAAAAATCATAATTTCTCTGAAAATAACCAAAAAATAATCAACTCTTATCTTCATTAATTCTCTGCATTTATCTTAATTTCATCATCTTCTTTGAAATGAACTCTAATTTTACAATCTATAATATTATCCAGAAACATAACCCCACTTGTGTTGGTTGATTATTTCTGTAAAGGACACAACTCCTGGCCTAGCCATTAGGTCTATCCAATATCGCTCGAGATTCATCACTGAGAATTACTGTCGAAAAATCAGTTTTCATGTACTTTACCCAATTTATGTTTCTCTTTGTGATGTTTATTTAAAGATTGTAGCTTATTGGCTTCCATGTTTTTAGTAAATGTTCTTAATATTTTACTTCTGTTTGCATTTACAACACTATTTCAAATATTTTCTTACTAGTCAATCCACATTTTTCTTTATTACCATTTAATTTTTTCAAAAATATCTTTTTGTGGTATTCTTAAAGCCTGTTCTTTCTCTTGATCTTAGCTTGCTGTTTTCAATTTCTTTTTTGCAATTTTTTGATCTCCATTCAATGTTTTCACAAATTTTAATATTTTTTTCTCATCACACAATAACTTTAATACATTTTTTTTAGATTGTATCATTTTCATGACTCTTGACAATGTTTATGTACATAAATTAAATAAATATCAATAGCTACATTATTATATACTTTTTTTATTTATATTTTTTTACAATATGATAAACAACCCACAAGTTACATCATAAAATCTCACACCCCAAAATAAATAACTGAAAATATTTAATAAAATAAATATAAAATGAAATTCACATAGTGTTGTAGCATACCTATGTACGATAATGGGTATGTCCCCATTCACATAAATACAGTAGTAAATACTGTATGCTGGTCTGCAGTTGAAGATTCATTGTGGAATTCACTTGACTCACTTCTAGCAGTTGACTACTTCTTCTACACGTTGCAGGTAAATCTTATATGTGTTGTTCTTGTCCTAAGTATTATCATTCATTACCAACCTTCATGTGATTATTCTATTCAGTAACCTTCCCTAGGTCACAACACATAGTATATTTAATATGTAGTGGTACTAATGTTAATAGAAAATGATTAACATGAGTGCTACAAAATAAAGAAGTTTTTATTCTGTTTTCTTTTTACAACACAAGAAATATCTGATAACAAAAATTAATTGTTCGGGGTTTGTTTTTCTTTAAAGTCTCTGCAATTTATAGAGAAATATCAGCAACCACATGGTGTTAAAAGCATTATCACCAAGTTGAGAATTGTTACTGTTCATTCTGTGGTCAAAGGAGCAGGCTGTGCTGAGAGACAGTTTTATGGAGCAAGCTGCTGGTGAGACACAGTTGTGTTCATCTTGCCAGACAAGTAAACTGTTCTGAAGCATTTTGAAAATATTCTCATTATTTAAATGATTTGATGGGATCATGCACATGCATGTTAGCTCCACAATTTTTTTACAAAATGACCGCATATTTTTTTACACCCAATTGGTAAAAAAATTTTTTAAGAAAACATGCATAGGCATTTTTATATATTAAGAATTGCACCAAAATTGATCCAATTTTTCTAGAACTTTCCTTGACAGGAAATGCATCATTTCCTATAAATACTCAACTTTCCAGATTGATATATATATATATATATATATATATATATATAAAAGATATATATATATATATATATATATATATATATATGTACAAACAAGTATATGTGTATTGACATACAATAAGGGTTACAACTGATAAAGATGATAATTAGTGTATATGAATGAACATAGAAAGCTTGTGGTCAAAGTATGTGTAAGTGAATGTGAATGTTCGTATGTATGTATGTGTATAATGTTCATGTGTGTTTCCCAAGGGAAATGCATAGTGCCCCACTCACACAAAGGGGAATATGCAAATCTTCATGAGAGATATACATTATGTCGTATCAGCTGAAAAGTGAGAAGAAAAGCGAACGGGGTACGGTATCACCAAATTTATATAGCATGTGGAGAGTAGCAGTTTCAAAAATGAGGAAATTAAGGAGAGGGTAACTCTGACAAATATATAACTGTAAGTATCTCCTAAAAAATTTCCAAAAATCAGTTGGTAAATACTAGTTTTAGTGTGAAAATACTGACTTGTGTAATAAAATCTGATATAGTGTAATTATATTAAATTGATGATGTTATAAAATAATTGAACTGAATTTCATGACTGGGTGTTATGGTGACTTTAAGTTTTTATTGAACTGGTATGATCCACTTGAAGAAAAAATACCAAGATCTAAAATATTAATGAACTCTATAAAATGGATGCATTATACATTGAGGAAAGTATAAATAATGTATCTCATGTTCAAACAAACAATGATGAGGACATTAATTTGAAAATACATGGAAATAAAATAATGTATTATAAATTAGTGAATTGGTTCTTTTTTTTTCAAAAATCTTCCAGTTGAACTCATATGTTACAAGTGAAAAGAAAAAGAGAATAAAAGATTTTATACAATATACACAGGAATAAGATCAAGTAATGTATTAGCTAAGTATATATTAATAACATAAGTGATTTGTGACACAAAGTTGGACATATTAACTTCTTTTTACTTTCTTATCTATTTCATACCCTCATTGCTTTTAGATATGTCTACTGGAAGGGAAATTACTCAAAAATAATATATGGCATAATGAAAAGACTTAGTGACTGACCTTGAAAAAGCAACAAAGATGAAGACAATAGTTTAAATAATATGCTTAAAAAAATGAGGTATGGCAGTATCTTGTAATTAATTTATTGAAAACAAAGACGAAGTGTATTCAGAAATAGAAACTATTTCATCTCTGTCTCTCTCACATCTGTCATGGAGAGATCCTGCAGAAAGAACAGTCTTATTTGACTATGTGCTCGGAGTGTCTGTATGATGCTGTTCCTTTTCTTAGTTATATATTACCTTAAGATATCCGAAGCTTTCTTCAAGACAGGAAAGAAGATTCTTGTCTTCCAGCCATGTATTTTTAATTCAATTATTTTCCAGATGTTTTAGTTTCTCAAGCATTCCTGCTGATTGTACTTCAAAACCTGATCCAAATGACCCCAAATGCTGCAAGGTTTTTGATTGTGGGAAGAAAAACCAGAATTATGGCTTAATTGGGATTAAAGATGGATTTGGAAAATCCCTGCAACCAGACAACAAATACAAAAGTAAGAATTTTTTTTTGAATTCAGAAATTTTTTTTTCAGAGAGAACCAAAAACCAAAATCATTTTTCATGTATGATATTATTTCCTTTTAAAAGATTGTGATTTAAAAAAATAAAACCAGAATTCACTAAAATATCTTGATAAATATATAAAAACAATTACAATTCTTCCCATCAGTATTTGAGTATATCCAAGAACAATAGCCTAGACCAATGGTTCCCAACCATTTTTTACCCATCAACCACTTTTACTCTTAATTCTTTTTGGTGAACCACTATAACCATTTGATAAAAAAAAAAATTTATTTTATTTTTTACTAATAGATAAGTTTAGGAATTGTATTATAGAAATAAAAAATGCATATGATTACTTTATATATAATCCTTATACAATTTATATATTAAATTACTTTACACTATTTACATTATTCGGACTATTGTCGTCATCTTTGTCGCCATATTTATCACAACATTTCGGCCGTTGTACACGCCGGCCTTCTTCAGGTGTTTGGAATGTGAAAGTGAACCCTTTATTTCACTCACTGGAGAAGACTGTTCTAGTTCCACGTGCCATGTTTAATGGATGTCAGTTATCTCCTGTTAATTCCTCTCTCCAAATTCTCCACTATCTTAACCGGGTATTGAATACACACTGTTTGTGTCTTGTCACTGGATCTAACCAACGCCTTTATCCACAGTGTCATGTGTCTCTAAAGAAATATAGACAGATACTAAATTAATTTATTATTAATATTTATTTTTTTTAATATTCTATATTGATTAATTTATATTAATATATTAATATTTTATTTTATTAATATTTAAAATTATATTATTTATTATTAATATATTAAACTAATTTATATAATAAATTATAATATTTATATAATTTTACTTTATATATATATATATATATATATATATATATATATATAATCCTTCTTTGTTTTTATTCAAATTTTACAATCAAAAGTCAAAACATCCGGTAGAGTAAAAGGAACACTCACTCACATTGCTTGATCATGTTTTCTGCTAGTTTTAGAGTTGTTTATATGAATTTAGGTATTTTAATATGACATAGATTACTGTAGAAATTCCAAATCCCCAAAGTAAAATTGCTCTATGGACCACTAAAATATTGCAGTGAACCCCCAATCTTCTATGTTTTTTGTGTGGACCCCCACTAATGTCTACATGGACTCCTTGGGTTCATGTTGACCCTGGTTGAGAACCACTGGCCTAGACGATTAAAGCATTGGTTAGGGAACTTGATGATAAAGTAATTGTGGTTTCAATCCTTGGGCTTGGATATACTCAATGGAAACAAGAAACAATGGAGACAAGAAATAACTGAACAATTAATTAAGACAAGATATTCCTAGACAGGGACAGTGGAATGAAAACAATCTACCTGAAAGATTCAATAAAGAGTACAGTTCAAATTTTCCTGAAGGTTACCTGGATTAGCAAACACATAAAGATGGTTTGGAAGGCACATTGGCCAAAATGTTGTCATAGCAACAACAAAGATGAGGACATTAATCTGACTAAATAATGTTAACTGTTCAACCCAATTGAGAGAAGTTAAGAAATTTATCAATTAAATTTTGAGATAGGGGCATCTCAATATGTTTCTGCTTAACAATTGTGGAACTCTCTTCAAGCTTCTTACTTTCCAGTCAATTTTGATTTTCAAAAATTTCAGGGCAATATCAATCGTTATCTTCTATTTTTTTTATTCCTGTTAATTTATTATTCTCTCTCCTTAATAATGTTTTTTTCTTATATTCTCTCACACTCAGTAACCCCTTGCATCTTAGTGACTTTATTGCCTTGCTTGAGGTGAAATGATTAAAAAGATCTTCTGAAAAAAATTGCATGTCTTTTCGACACATTTTGATAAAATAACTTTTCCATATACTGTGCATTTATTTTTTTATCAGGCAGCATTTAAGCTAACTCCTGTGGAGTGCTCTTGATTGGGCCTTTATCATAATAGGTAGGGAGGAGTAGATGCAATATGCAACAATAAACTAAAGAAGAACTCAAAACTGATCACTGCATTTAAGTATTGCATTAATATTTAAGCTTACCTTTTAAAAGTTTAGTGATAATTCTTCTGCTGCCACTTAATTTAAAGATAATTTGATGTACTTAGATCCTTACTTTCTGTACAAACAATTATTTTTATTTCATCGATGACCTTTGCTGCATTTTTTAATTAATTTCAATTATTCCCAAATTTATTTCCAAGTTATAAAAATTGTTATCATACAAAAAATTTCCTCACAGAAAACCATGTAAAATAATTGCCAAAAACAATCACAGTAATGAAAATTTGGGAATGCAAAATTTCAAGATTGCAGGTCTGGATCCAACCTGGAATGTTTTTAATTTGCTTACAGAGTCAGGCTGATTCCAAGTAATACAGCCTCTAGAAGTAAAGTTATATATATATCGTGTATATTTAGGCAGCAATTTTTCAGTGATACATGTTTCATTAAATAATATCGACAAGTTGCTTTGAAATTTTTCATGCAACAAAAACAGACTATCATTATTGTTTCATCCGTGTATTGTTTGATATATTGAAATGTAATTGTCATCTTTGATAATGGCTTATGTAAGCCGAAAGCTTAGATCGAATTTAAACCTGTATCAATATGGTGATTTCCTTTCATGTTTCAATGATAATGTTATTAAGCTTATCAGACGGAAAGGAACTTACTTAAAATAAATAGACACAACTTGTCTATATTATTTAATGAAACATGCATCAATATATATATATATATATATATATACATATATATATATATATATATATATATATATATATATTACATCAAACATTAATTTTAGTGGATACCTGTATTTGAGTAGATGTTCTATTTATTTTGAATAAAGAATTAATGTATTTATTTTTAATCCAAAATTTTTATTACTTCAAATGTTATTTTAGTGGATATTCATATTTGAATGCACTATTTTTATTTTAAATAGAGCCTATTGGTGTGTGGATTCAAGAAATCCCAATAAAAACTGTGCTTTTTTTCAGGTACTTGCATCTCCCTTTGTAGGAGAAACAACTGTTTAATTTGGTGTGCTTTACCACTCGATTACAGAGAGTGTCATACTCCAGCAAGAATCTATTTTCTCTTTCAATGCACAATCTCTTTATATATTTCCTCGTTTATTTTTCTTAAGAAATCTTCATCACTTTCCCATTTACATCCATGAGTCTAATTGTTAATTATGTACAAAGTTGAGTGCTAAAAAAGTAGAGACTGCAGTACACAGGTTTAGGGTTTTCCCTTCCTGCAATTGTACAAATAAACTCAGTTGGTTGATATATGTGTGGTATTATAGGAAAAGAGGTAGTGTAGCTGTGACAGATATGGGATAGACAGGATTTAAGATAATTTTATTGTGGAATGATTACTGGGTCCAGAAAGATTCAGCACTATTTCAAAGGTAGCAAATGCTCTATATTTTTATTGGGCAACAATAGCAATTGTATATAAGGAATATATGAATTCCAGACAGACATAAGCAGCATGTAAAATGACTTAATGCTCAGCCACCATTTGAACAGTGGGTAAGTGGGTAACTATTTTTATATCTACTGTAAAACATTAAATACCAATTATTTGTGAATTTGAACTCAGGAGCTCAGGAAGAAGGGTTCAAATTGTTCAGGAACGCAGGGCTCAAAGGGTTAAGCATATCATTAACTACTACTATTTGTGCTCACTGGGGAGATTAAATATTCTGTTAATAAATGTTCAATGTCTTCAGAAATCAATTGTATATCCGCCTTGCTATATGCATAAGATTTTGTCACAATTGGCTGTGCTTGTTTCAGATAAAGAAACAGACATGGCATCTTCAAACTTACTTTTGCCCAGTGTCCCACTTTACCACAGTAAGTGCATTCTCTATTTTGAGCAGGATATTTAGAATGCTGACGCAACCCATGGTTGCAAAACAAGAACTGTTTATTCATCACTAGAGCAGTAGCATTTAGAGGGTTAAAGTCAAGGTTTGAATTGCAATCATCTGTATAAATGTCTTCATGTCTTGGTCAGAATAATTTTAAGGATATTCAAGTTCAGTGTCATAGGCCTGGTTAAGGGTTAGTTCCTTGTGTTCTAATAAGCTCTGCTGTATAGTTTGAGACAAAAATTATATATTATAATGTGTCTCAAACCAGTTGTTGATATGATTCAGCAGTAATATCCCCAAATCAGTAGAATTTGCCAAGTCACTGTAATTCCTGGAAGAATTCTTTGATATTCTTTAGTTCTACTTGTCGCTTCATGGCGAAAAGGTGTTGAGTGAATATATTGCTTTTTTATTAATAAAGAAATTGTCCAGGACATTAATAACTGCTTCAAAACTGGTATAATCTGATATGAGCTCATATATTAATTCAGGGACGTATTTAATCAGGCAGCATAACTTATTTGGAGTGTTTTCCTGGCATTCATCAATGAAGTTATACTTACCTTCCAAAGTAGGTATTCTTTTTCTGTGTCAAATGCATTTGAGTCAGTATTCAGCCTCTCAGGGAGCAAAACTATTATTCAGCCTATCAGGAAACAGTAACTTATCTATAATGATATTTTTTTAATTTTTTTTTTTATTTGAATAAATTGTAATGAATTAAGAAATGAATATAACTTTTCGTAGGCAGTTACATGTAGATGTTTGGTGATCTCCAGAACCAACTCCTTGATTTTATGATACATCTCCTCCATTAATGGACCAGTCCTGAACATATATATTCAAGATAACTCTGCTGGTATGTGGACTCAGCCAAACCACTGGGTTTGACAATAACGAGTCAACCAAAACTCAGCTAATCGAATCCTCTGCATTTGGGCGGAGATGAACTCAGACGAGGTATATGCCTTCTTGCAGAGTCTCGTCTGGAGAGGTAGACAGGCTCCCAACACCATATATGCGTGGAAATTTTTGCCGATCGTATGCGCTCGGAAAGTAACACGTGCCACAACCCGCCTTATGGGGAGGACTTGGGTAAATAACAAGTCAACCAACCTCTGGGTTTTCCAAAACTCTGCTAGTCGAAATCTCTGTCTT